GTCGCATTACATTAACATTTCTACACAGTAGACTGGAAAGATTTCCAACACTATCACCATTGTCATTACATCCAGGGGGAAATTGCATCTAGTTTTAATACAATTCAATACAATATTCTTCTGTAGGGAAAGGTTAACAGAATGATGGATTATTTATATCATGGATTTATTTTTTCTACAGTTTCTATTTTCAATGAATAAAATATAATGATCAGTTAATTAAAGTATTTGTAAATATACTGATCCCTTGTGTTAATTTGAAATGTATGCCATGATATTTTTCTATTAGCTGAAACCTTGTTTTCACACAGATGAATAAGTCACAATTATTACATTCTATTTCGTTGGTATACACTAGCGCAGAAAAGATACCCCACTGCTCTTTGGACTTTAGTGCCGAGCATAAGAATTTGCTTTAATGCAATTTTGTTTTGTTTTAATAATCATTCTCTCTTTCTAACATATACATAGGCAGGCAAACTTTAGAGTGTTGGTAAACCCCCCTTGACCTGAAAACAAACTGCCCTGGATTTAGGATATCAGGTCAAGGGTATAATGCATGCCAAAACATTTTTAAGATCCTATATACCTGGGGTAGTTTATTTCTTTTTCTCCCTTCTCTTTCTTATATCTACGGGAGACAAAAAATAAATGTCAATGAACGTTCACATCTTTGACCTCAAACAAACTGTCAAGGTATTAGGACATCACGTCAAGGTATAATTTTTACCACAGAAATGCCTAAACACTGATATATTTTATTCAAAAGGTGCTATCTGGATTTAATGCGCATTTTGAATGAAATTGGAATACTATGCATATATAAATATCGAAAAACACGAGGTTATTGGCTGGGGACATTCCATAGTTTAACAACCTACCGGGGTATATATCCTCATGTATTGATAACAAATGTTAATTTAATAAAGACGAACGTATTGACATATTAAAGAATAATATCAATAGCACAAAAATTGAACATCAGTTTCAACCAAACATTGTAAAGAAAGGTTTACGGATAAATATTAATATACCTCTAAAGGTTGATTAAAATAAAGTACGATGTATTTGCTTACGATATTAAACAATAACCAAAAACAATATCAAGTTTCATCAGGACATTCAGATCTATCAACGACGTATTTCGGTTATCAATTGTTTATTCCATTCTTATGTCAAAATAATATAACCTGGGGAGCTTGAAATAACAGATACCACAGAGTCTTACACCTCTGTTTTATATTTCGATATTTTACTTGAAAAAGATGTTCATTGTAAGCTCTCTGATAAAAGTGATGACTTTAATTACTTTTCAATCGTCAACTTACCTTACTTATGCAGAAGTAAGCATTAATAACCTGCATACGGAGTTGATATCTCTCAGTTGATTCGATACGCAAGACCATGCTATGTATGTACAATTTCTAAAGAGTGGTTAATTATTGACAAACAAGTTGAAGAATGAAACATATAAACATAACAAACGTTATTCAAAATTAAAAGTCCATAAAAAAAACAATACAAAATAGAAGCAAAGAAAACACGGCCCTCGAAAACTTTAGAGGTGGGATCAGATGCCATGGACGAGTGAGCCGAAGTAAATCAAGAATATCAGCAAGTTCGTTTTTATGGGCTAGTTTTCTAAAGAGATTTTCTGAATGTACTGAAAAATTAGAAATTCTTGAGTACATCTTAAATCTACATCTAAAAATATAAAAACTACTTTTGTAGAATGTACAGGTTTAAAAATAACTGTTACAAAGTTAATGAAAAGTATTGATATTGAAAAAAAGAGAAGATAATGAAAGCCAAATCCCAAATTCATATTATATTTTTTAAAAAGTTCAAATGGTTTTTAAGATATATGCAATATCTCTATTAAGAAGAAAAAAACAAAACAATTCAGTCACTTGAAAAATGGAGAAATAATGGAATATTTTTGGGAACTCAGAATGGAAGAAAATATTTATATCTCCTTTGAAAATTAAAAAAGAGGGAGAATTTCAGCAATTTCAAATCCTGCGCAAGATTATTGCAGAAAATAAATACATTTGTAAGCTTAAACTAATTGAGTCAACTGCTTGTTCTTTTTGAAAATAAAAGGTCTAAATGATTGAACATTTATTAGACGGGGTCACGTGACCCCGTCTATTAGTTTACTGTCAGAGCTTTCAAAACGGAAACCGTGGTGATAACACATGAATTAAGCCTACGATATACATGTATTAAAGAGTGCAGAAATAGTTTTGATTAAAATATAAACATTCTGTATCAAACTGAAGAAAGTGATATGAACTTTTTTTTCTAAATCAAATAAATAAGGCATTTGGTATATGTAAACTCAAAATATTAATTGTAAAACACACTAGTAAACAAAGTACTCTTTTGCGTAGTATTACGATTGCGTACGCATCGTCCATTGTTTACTTCCGGAAAAATATTAATTCGGACCATGTGAAATTCGGACAGTTCAAAAAGCTTTCTAAATTAGCAATTCTTGAAATTTTCACATCAAATGAAATGCAAAACGCAAATTTATCTTATGCATATTTTTGCTTTAGAAGGTTAATTAAAAAAGTATGAAAACTCGTTAAAAAATCACATTTGTGAAATCTATCATGAAAATATTTTGACCTCGTCTTTCAGTACTGTCTCAGTACTTTGATTTTTTTAAGTGTTTTTGAATTTAAAGAAATATGGTGTAACATTGAAATAAATTTCATTTCACTATTAATTTTGATTGGAAGGATGAAAGAAATAGAGACATTTCAAATACTTTTTGGCAAATTTAACAATAAAAATATGTTTAGATTACACGATATAATACCTGGTGTTAAAGCATATTTTTGCAGTAGGTTTAAAAATGTGCCTATACTAAGCATTTCAATGCATAAAAGCTATATTTTTAAGAAAATCTAAATTTTCAGAATATGAAAAGTACAGGAAAAATTATTCAGGATATGCTTTAATGTATTTATTTTTCCGAATTTATATACAAATCTACAAGTAGGTTAAAATACTTAATAACCCCACTTCACACTTTTTAATGTTTACCCTCCTTCATCCCTCATCTCCCTTTTTTGCTTCTTTGTATAAAAAAAATTCGTGAAGATTCATATGAATATATGAATGTTATATACACTTCTAGATTGATTTTGATATGGACATGTATTAGTATTTACCAAAAGAAATAGTATTTGTAAAATATGAATTATTAGTAAGTAAAAATGAAAGATGTATAAAATGTAAACAATATATTGCACAAACTATATATATCAAATGTGATATAAATATTATATTATTTGCACAAATAAATTCAAATTCTATGAATCAAACTAAATATTTTTAAAAGTTTATCATTTAAGCAAATTTTATTGTTCATAAATTACCTTGTCCGCAAATGCAATCTATCTTTTAGCCGGATGATGACTAGCGTTTATCCTTTTAATTGTCAGGCAAATTTTAGACAATGAATTGTCTACATATTTTTATGTCCCAGTATTCGAAGTTTCCGGGGTATATAGTTTCCGCCTGTCAGTTTCTCTGCGTGTCTGTCTCTCTGTCTGTTTATCCGCAAACACTTAAACTTTGCGTATAACTTTTGAATTGGTGGGACTATGGCTTTCATATTTTACAGGTATATTTTTTGTGACAATACCTTTCTTCGTGTACCCCCAAGTTTGACTTCCTGACGTTTACTTTAGAGTCTGACCTCAATTTTACAAAAAAAGTTATCAAACTTTAACCTTGGATATAATTTTTGAATAGTTGGTTCTAGAGTTTTCATGCTTTACCTATGTATTCATTGTGACAAGACCTTTCAGAGGATATCAATAGTTTTGCCAATTTGACCTTTACCATAGAGTTTGATCCATTTTCTGTTGCTTTATCCTTGGCCATAACTTTTGTTTAAGCAATTACGTAGTACTAAAGCTTTAATATTTCACAGATGAATTTCTTGTGATACAACCTTTCTCTGAGTACAAACAATTTTTATCATTTTACCTTGACACGGAACTCAGACTTGTATTTAAAAAAAACCCTTAGAATCTTAGCTATAAGCTGTCATACGGGGGCATCAGTGTAAACACATCTCTTTTTTTCAGTCATGACATGGAGCTCACTGCAGATTTGACCGTGGAAAGAAAGGTTCGTTCTCCTTTTAAGTTCTGATACTCCATTGATTTGTTTGAAATCTATGTTTGTTCTCCTCTTGATTTGTATCGATTGAATGAAGTTTGATTACTATTCGTTATCTCTTAATTTTATTACAAAAAATTTGTTTGAAAGTTGTTGATTTTTTTTTTATGGAAAGAAAATTGTTTGAAGTTTTCAAATATTTAACAACATATCGACTAATGAATTAAGTATGGAGTCATACCGGCAATGATTTCTTACTCAGCATCGTTTAATATTGAGAAATCTAAAAGCTCTGTAGAGGTATAGAACATGCTCTTTCAGGAATGAGGACTAAGTGTAAAATACACAATAAAACATGGAAGGGGCTCTACAGTTAAAGAACAAAATTCTGAAATGTTAAGCTATTGTTTTTTCTAATTTTGTTTTAGTAATAAGCAGAGTGTATATTACATCGCTTTATGTCCAAAATGTTTTGGCGATTTTTTCCCTCAAAAATGATTTATTGAAGAAGAGTTCAAGGCTCAAAAGAACTGATACATGGAACGGTCATCAACCAGATGACCTCAAAACGTTTAATTGAAAATTTCATGTACCTTTGATACCATTTCTTGCGTTAAGAAGACTGTGTTTGGGTCTAAAAGAAGTCTTCAAATTTATTAAAGAAAGATTGTTTTCAATAACAACAGGTAAATATTAATAAAAAAGTATCAGATAATTAGTTTTATTTATAACAAATATAAAATAGGTCTTGACGTATCTATAAAAAAGATAAATAGTGAAAATGTTTTATATTTTGGATAAACAATAATGTCATTCAAGCTATAAAAATGATCTTATATTATCAAAGCATGGACGACAGTGTAATGGAAAGCTATTATTAAAGTTTGTATTGTAGACCTTATTCCAGAAGTTAGAAGTTTGGATAAATCAGAAAATGTAAGTAAAACATTTTTACTATTGTTTAATCATTTCTTTGAATTGAACTTTCAAACAATGTATTTACAGCTTAAAATTTAAAGACGAAACAAGTGCCATATTTTTTTCCGTCAAACTATTTAGTGTTTGAAAGTAGAAATGCATTAGAATTATATGCAGCTACAAAATTGTGTTGTATAAGGTATTGCATAAGGTATTTAAAGTGCAATTGATTTCGTTTGATAAAACGTGACTGTAATAAAACAAAATGGTTATATATCAGTCTGACCTCTTTGTAAGGTCATGTTTGACCACAGGGTGAAAACGTTCTTACTCTTTTACTAAAAGCTCAATACAGTTTAGTATGTCATCACGGTTCACCTTTCGTTTATAATTCATTATTCGTAGAAACTAAAAAGCAGTCTCGGAAATGACATTAAATGTAATTTGCATATTTATTATTTTTTCTCTAAAGATACAAGTTCTTAATCTAATTAAAACAAGAGGCCCAAGGGCCACAGCGCTCACCTGAGCACATCGGGCTTGAATTTACCCCCCCCCCCCCCCGGCGTTCATCATTTGAACAAACTAGAATCTACACTACCTGAGGATGATTCCATATAAATAACACTAATCGTAGCTTTGAAGTACTTGAAAAGAAGATTTTAAAAGGTTTCCCTATATATCCCTATGTAAAACTTGGATGGGCCATTTTGGCCCCACCCTAGCCTAGGGGTCATGATATGAACAAACTTGAAACTACACTACCTGAGGATGATTCCACATGAATTTCATCTTTCCTGGCCCAGTGGTTCTGGAGAAGAAGATTCTTAAAGATTTTTTCCTATATATTCCTATGTAAAACTTGGGTCGGCCATTTTGGCCCCACCCTAGCCCCAGGGGTCATGATTTGAACAAACTTGAATCTAAACTACCTGAGGATAATTCCACATGAATTTCATCTTTCCTGGCCCAGTGGTTCTGGAGAAGAAGATTTTTAAAGATTTTTCCTATATATTCCTATGTGAAACTTGGGTCGGCCATTTTTGCCCCACCCTAGCCCCGAGGGTCATCATTTGAACAAATTTGAATCTTCACTACCTGAGGATGATTCCACATGAGTTTCATCTTTCCTGGCCCAGTTTTCTTGAGAAGAAGATTTTTAAAGATTTTTCCTATATATTCCTATGTGAAACTTGGGTCGGCCATTTTTGCCCCACCCTAGCCCCGAGGGTCATCATTTAAACAAATTTGAATCTTCACTACCTGAGGATGATTCCACATGAGTTTCATCTTTCCTGGCCCAGTTTTCTTGAGAAGAAGATTTTTAAAGATTTTTCCTATATATTCCTATGTAAAACTTGGGTCGGCCATTTTGGCCCCACCCTTGCCCCGGGGGTTATGATTTGAACAAATTTAAATCTACACTACCTGAGAATGATTCCACATGAGTTTCGTCTTTCCTGGCCCAGTGGTTCTGGAGAAGAAGATTTTTAAAGATTTTTCCTATATATTCCTATGTAAAACTTGGGTCGGCCATTTTGGCCCCACCCTTGTCCCGGGAGTCATGATCTGAACAAACTTGAATCTACACTACCTGAGGATAAATCAACATGAGTTTCACCTTTCCTGGCCCAGTGGTTCTTGAGAAGAAGATTTTTTAAAAATGCCATTAATTTTTCTCTAATTCATAATTATCTCCCCTTGGAAAAGGGCGTGGCCCTTCATTTGAACAAACTTGATTTCCCTTCACCCAAGGATACTTTGTGCCAAGTTTGGTTAAAATTGGCCCAGTGGTTCTTTAGAAGAAGATGAAAATGTGAAAAGTTAACGATGACGACAACGACGACGACAACGACTATGACAACGACAGACAACGGACAAATTTTGATCAGAAAAGCTCACTTGAGCCTTCGGCTCAGGTGAGCTAAAAAGACTTTATTCATTTTTCAGAGAAAGAGTGAAGATCAAAGATGTATCATGCAAGTAAAAGATTGCAGGCAATTCGCAAACAACTGAAACAAATCAATGAACAATATAAGAATGCTGAATTTGAAAAAGTAACAGTGACAGAATCAGATGCAAGAATGGACAAGAGGAATGCAAATATCCATGAGGTAATGCAATAGAATAGGCAACTTCTATTACCGGTACTTATGCAGCATTATGCCTTCATCTCCTGCATACGGAGTTTATAAATCTCAGTTGATTCGATACGCAATAGCATGCTCTACGTATGAAAATTTTCTAATTGAGGTAAATTATTGAAAAACAAGTTGATGTAACAAAAATATCAGCAGTCTTGTTTAAATTCATCATTTCGTAAGTTCTATGGTCGATACACCGATCTTATAAGCTAAAACAATTAATTTATCATTGAGTCAAATGCTGACTCGTTTATCATACTGTTAGGCTATTATCTATTCCCTGAATTGAAAACGGATTTTTCCAATATTTCACCACTATGACAAGGAGCACACGGCGGGTGTGACCGGTTAGTAAGGGATGCTCACTCCTCCATTGTACCTGATTCCACCTCTGATATATTGAAAGCTCGTATTTGCTCGACTTCTTTTTTTTGTATTGTTTTACGGACTTTTGATCTTGATTACTGTACGTTATCTATGTATCCTTCATCTATAAATAATATATATGTAAGACTCCAAGGTTTGATGGTCTTACCAAAGTCCGATGTTCTGCGCCTAGCCTTGATGGCTAGATTTCTTTACGGACGCCAACGTCCGATGGTCACGCCAAATGACGTTGGCTCCTTTCTAACGGGATACGATGCGCTACAGTGCGATGGCACCTGATCCCACCTCTGATGTTTCGGAGGTCCGTGTTTGCTCTGCTCTTCTTTTGTATTGTTTTATGGACTTTGAGATTGAATACTGTTCGTTATCTCCATATCCTTCTGACACGCCAAAGTCAGATGGTTCGGAAAAAACAATTAACGTTATGACGTTACAATAATCCGACGTCAATCCTCGACGCCGTTTCCGGCATTCAAGAGGTCTTATTTCCGCATTCGTCCTCGCATACAGTTTGACTGATTTTGCACCAACTAGAGACATAATAATTTATCTTCGTACAGCATTTGACTGAATAGGTCTAATACTAGCGCACTAGTAGTATTAAACTGATAAGACATAGTTTTGGTCCAACCCGAGAAGTTAGGGATTAGTTTTCACACACTATTTAAATGAATTGGGTTACTCTTGAAATCACCTAAGATTATTTAGGTTAAAGTTGTTCCACACTTTTCGACTAATTTTGGTTAGTTTCTTGTAGAAATAATGAATCTTCACTATATATTCAACGGAAACACTCACTAAACACATTATCTGCTATTTAGCAGAAGGTTTTTTTTAATATATGAAATATGTTTTGTAACTATATGTTCATAAGAACCTCTTCCGCGGGGCCCCAATGCTGATAATAATGTTAAATATTTTAGAATAGCCGCTTTTGATTATCATAACTGTTAACTGTTTGTTTAATACACAGGAACAGAGAAAAAGGGGCATATCAATAATGCGTTTTAATTTCATTATATATAATCAATAGCTTTCTTTGGCCAAACTCCTGAGCTTAGAGCTATGAAATTTACATTTTTAAAAGGAGTACTGCTTTATGATCATGATTACAAGGCAATTTGTTCATCTGGCAAACACCTAGGAGCAAAGGAGAGGATATTCCTAGTATTGGCACCCGCCGTGATCATGAAAAACCTTTAGCTCAATATCTTTATGTTTTACTAAAATGTTGAAAAAAGCAGGCAGATTAAAATTCAAAGGGTTTCTTTACAAAAGATTTGCTATCTGAAAATTTTATGATTAATTTGGTAATAAATAAAAGTAATTGCAGGTGATTATAAGTTTGACTTAAGTTTAAGTCTGTTTCGTGATCCTAGGGCCAAAAGATTGTCATTTCTTATATGTAATAGAAAAGGAGAAGCGGTCAAATTCTTCTACAAAGTGTTAACAAAATATTTGAACATGGACAGAGATAGATAAGTTCGGTTAACGTTTTGTAGTTATACCTCGTTCACAAACACGTGTTTCACCTTATTATAATGTCATCATAGGGGCACATGATCTTTCTCAAAAGTTCATTGAGTTTTTTTTTGTAACCATAAAAATACAACTTCGGCATTAGATACGTTATCAATTTTTGTTTACGTATTTTGCAATAATATTCAGAACTTTTTTATAAACAGCAAATTAAAAAAAAATGATTTCTGTCTAGAAAATCCAGGAGTTTGCCATTTTTTTTACATGTAAGTTAAAAGGAGAATTAGTCAAATTCTACTAATAAGTGTATACAATTTTTTTGAACTTGTACCAGGCACGTAGCAACAGGGGGGGGGGGGCACTTTTTTCCCAACATTACCTGTACTATTGAAAATGCCCATGGAAATGTTGGTTGGCCCCCCACTTCTGAGCACAGTATAGTGATCTCAAGGAAATTTGTATTTTATGCAAAAAAATTGGAATTGAAAGGAAGTTGGCCTTGGAAAGAGATGGCCACTACTCCCTCACGAAATAGGGCAATTTCCTTTTCTTTTCTTTCTTTTTTTTTTTGCTTGTCAACTTTTACAGGTAAGTAAAAAAAAAAAATTTCTCTAGTTGCCCCCCCCCTCATTTTCAAAAACGATGCTTCGTGCCTGTGTACTAAAATTAGTTCATTAAACTTTTCTACATGTACCCGGTTAACATACTGGTGTTTTCACCTTTCATAGGTCAAGAAATTTTAAACGGTCAAAGACCCCAGGAAAAGGTCGCCTTATCTGAAAGACTCGGACAAATATTAGCTGACCTAAAGATTATATGTCTTACGTATACATGTACTTAACGAGGCCCGATCTAGTTGAATTGCGCATACTTTTTAACGCAGCGTCGACTCAGGCACGTCACAGTACCTTTGACTGCCGTCACAATTGAACACAATAACGTCACAATTAAAATGACGTCAAATTGCGCTAAAATGTTTCGCTGATCCTGCATACCTGGTAACTCTGTAGACTGTACATGTTGAAAGCTGGTATTTCTATTATTTACATGTTTTTTTAAAAAAATATTTTTTTTTAATTGATAAACAACTTTGGAACATGATTTATTTATTTATTTTGAGGTATCAATTTCTTGGTACAATTCATTAATTTTACCTTGTTTTATTTCAATTTGTGAGTTAAAAAAACAAACACTGCAACCGAAAGTAAACGATTTTAGTCTTTCTCCTTGAACATGTTGAAGTCTTTATACACACCTTTTTTTATTGAGGACTTAAATATGCATGAATTAGCTTGATTTAAAAAAAAACAGTCTTTGAATCATTTAAATGCAACCCCCGATATATTTCATTTTTCTATATACAATGTATTACATGATATTAGTAAAATTCGTCATTTTTCGCCTTTTACCCCCCCCCCCTTTTCCACGTATAACATCGTCGCGTATAAATAATAAAAAAAAAAGCATGAAGAGAAAATATTTCAAAATGTAAGAATTATTTATTTATTTCTTGGAAACTAATACAGTATTGCAATCGTTTGTTGATGTTATGTACACCCATGGCGACTTATTTCATGTCTAGTTGGATAAAATAAGTGCTAATTTTGTGTTTCGATATGCCCCCTTTTCACTGCAATAAAGGCTACCTTCAATTTTCTTTTCATTTTTTATAAGAAGAAGGAAAATTGCATGACATATGTGAAAAACAAAAATTTTCATCATGTATTTTTTTTTTATTTTCAATTTCTTTGTTTATTGGAGGGTTTTACTATGTTACTGTGTATAAAAACACAAAAAATGGTCCATATCTTGACAGTGCCCCCATTTGACTACAATAAAGGCAAGGTAATAAAATTTCATTCTAATTTTTCTTAGCATAATACATTCAAAAATAATTCCTATTATTAAAATTTTTTATCATTCCGTTTTCGTAATTTTCAACTAGATCGGGCCTCGTTAAACCAAGTTTTATATTGTTTGTAATCTTTTCTACAAAGTTTAGCTAGAAACTATTTTGACCAAGTGATTTGAAGTTTATCGTCTTTATATCTGTATCTAATAATAGAAGTCTTAAATTGGCGCTGTCCCTTATTATCAATAAACGTCTGGTGCCATGTCCTCAGAACAGATTTAGCCAAGCCAGCTTAAATATGTAAACCAATTGACCTCTCCTTTAAATGCAGATTTCTTTGCATAATTTATCAGATAAGAAATACAACTTGATGACTTTTACTCTATGCCAACAATCAGTTTTCATTCTTAATCTAATAATTATCATAAACTAGATTATATCTATTTTTAGTTTTTTTTTCTTAATGTCAGCAAATAAATGTCATTATCATTAGGCAAAATAAATCAATATAAGGGAATAAAAGTGATTTACTTTAATTAATATTATCTTAACATGATAGGACGAACGGGGGTACTGACATGACGTTTAAACAGAAATAAAAACTTCAAAATATGATCAGTAACCCGATTTTCAGCTTTAATTCGGAAAGCCAGATTTAAATCTAAATCTTTAAGTGAAACGCTAAATTACTAAATTATCACTGGTCCGTTTGATATCGCGTGTGAAAGAATGTAAATGATAAACTAGAGGTACTGTGAGCAATGAGCTCACTAAATGATACCCCCCGCCTCCCATATGAATATAATGGCAGTGTCCATGTTTTGCTCTGGAAAATCCAAAATATATGTCAGATCAAAAAGTAAAATAGGGGGTGCACAATGGCAATATGTAATGAAGATTCTGTGAAAGTTTCATTAAATTTCCTTCAGGGGTATGAGAGGAGTTGCGGATAAGAGATGGGTACCCCAAAGCGTAACGGACGGACGGACGGACGGACGGAAATACCGATTACTATATACCCTCCCATTTTTCAAGCGGGGGGTATAATAAATGTAGACAGACCTGATTTTTCTCAAGGTTTAAAAAATCGAATAGAAACTTAACTTTGTAATATTCTGGTAACTTATGCTTGGTTGATATTGTTTCTGTAAAGTCGCCACGGTTATGAACCAATCTTTTGAAAGTCTGTATTTGAAAAATATTGATTCGAACTTCTAACAAAATTTATCTTTTATTGTATTACTGCAATTACAGATAAGTGTAGCAAGTGTTTCCAGTAATGGTCATTCTACTACGATGACCATAGACGACTTAGAAGAACAAGTGTCTGGCAGCAAAAATATTAATGTCGGTGCGGATCTAGGATCTTTGATAGAATGTTCTACCTCTGAAGTGGCGGGAATCCCTCTGTCTGAAGACCTTCGGTGCGCCATATTGAATATGGAGGATCTGAACGATGTATGTTGTTCATCTACAGTTATCCTTACCAAGCAAAAATCACTGTTCTCTTGATCATCGATATTATTTGCAATCAAATTTACAATATGATTTAAAGAAAGTTCCAACATTGCATTACTATCCGTGTATTTAATTTACCTTATGTCGTGTTGAATCTATAGGTGAACTCGTTTTGAATGTGTTTCTGTGTGAAATAACACTATCTGCAAATTGTCACTGCACAACCTTTTTTGTCGCTATATTAAATATAAAAACACAATTTTTGTAGGTGGATAATGTCCTCGGTGACGTGATGACCTCTGTATTAGATGATACGTTTTTTTGTAGGTGGATAATGTCCTCGGTGACGTGATGACCTCTGTATTAGATGATACGTTTTTTTTGTAGGTGGATAATGTCCTCGGTGACGTGATGACCTCTGTATTAGATGATACGTTTTTTTTGTAGGTGGATAATGTCCTCGGTGACGTGATGACCTCTGTATTAGATGATACGTTTTTTTTGTTGTAGGTGGATAATGTCCTTGGTGACGTGATGACCTCTGTATTAGATGATACGTTTTTTGACGTGAACCTCTGATTTATAAATCTGACGTTGACCTCTGTATTAAGATGACGGATAATGTCCTCGGTGACGTGATGACCTCTGTATTAGATGATTGATGACCTCTGTATTAGATGATAATGTCCTCGGTGACGTGATGACCTCTGTATTAGATGATACGTTTTTTGACGAAGATTTAGAATCTATTGAGCAGACGGCTAGTTTATCGGTAAGTAACACTAGAAAAGCTGAATTATAGGTAAGGGTCTCACGAGCTGTCTCCATATGAGTGAAAAATTCTCGAAACAGTATACAATCAATCAATTTTGATACAAACTCCTAAGAACTCTAAGTTTATTTTCTAAAACATACATGGCATTATATTGAAAATTTCATGTATGTCGGTCAAAGATAACCTGATAAGTTGACATACTTTCTTTAAAATGGAACTATAGTAACCTAATTTTGAATAATAATACTATGGAGCAGTGAATTGAGTGAAGTCTCTAACATTAGTACCCGCAAATTATATCAACTTTAATAAATGTGTATAAAATATATGGAGTAAAACATATAGGTTACGAACGGTATCCAAGCTCAAAGGTCCGTAAACAATACAAAATTGATGAGCAAAGAAAACACGAACAACTAAAACATCAAACATGGGATCAAGTGTCATGAAGGTATAAGCAACCTTCGCCAACCAAACACACCCACCGTGTGCACCTTGTCATGATTGGAATATAACGACAAAATCCGCTCACTATTCAGTGCAAATGATGGTCTAACAATAAGGGTTAAAAACGTCAGTCAGTATTTGACTTAATGATAGACTGTATTTGCTGACAGTATCATATTTATGTATCTAATGTCTTCGCAATTTTCTTCTATTTATCATTTCATGACTCACTGCCTCGTTCAGATGAGGTAACCTCATTATACAGGTTCAGGACATTTCATTCACCTAATTATTAAGAAAAAAATCATATCTTTTATTATATCACAAAAAATGAAACGGTTCTTTAGGTCTTTATATTTGAAATTGAAATTTTACTTAGGCCAGGATTTATATTAATTTATGAGTGTAAAAAGTTAATGAATTAGTTTTTGTTTTTTTTGGATAACCCTGTCTTGTTCATGACCTTAAATTGGTTATGTTTAATGATTATTGAGTTTGATATTGTTAATTATCTTTACATTTTAATTAGACTAGCTCCTCTTCTGAGTATGACCATTACAATGCCCAAAACACGGAAGGTGAAAATCCTTCACCAGAAAACAGTACTAGGAAGTCGGGGACTATGACGGAGGAAGGAAACTGGCGAAAAGACCGGAAAAAGAAGGACAAACATAATATAAGTAGGTATAAAAGATAACTTATGAAAGGGTTTTTTTGTTTGCATTTGACATAGATTTTGAAATGCATATAAACATCATAATTTTCTCAATTGAGATATTGATTGATTAAAATATTACCCTTCCACACATCTCTTGCAACTACATGTATATTGTTTGTTAATAGAATATCATCTGGGGCAACAAAGTGATTAAGTTATGTTCATCGCGTGAAACCCCTAACTGCCTCATTTTTCGTTTCAGTCTTATGACGAGAGGCATTTGAAAATTCTGAGAATGGTTTGATAAATGATATGTTGAAGGCCCAGTAAACGGTAAAGATTATTGCTGATTACCTTTCTAATTCACTTTTATCCCAGATCCGCCTCTTCAAAGCGCACGAGACAAATGGAAGTTCTAAAATGTGACGAAGCATACCTTACACATTCGTTTTAGATATTTTATAAAACCATTCTCAGAACTATTGAAATGCCCCTCATATAACAATAAAATTTAATCTTCATGTACTTATAAAATGCAATGACATGATATCTATTAAACATACTTTTACTTACTAGTATTCAAAGCAAACATTTCAACCATAAAATGAATTTCTAATGGAATTCATTTTAAAAAGTATTTTGTCTCTTAACATTATTCGAACACCATTGTAGTTGAACGACGACGGCGATACAACATAAACGATAGAATTAAAGAACTGGCATCACTCCTTCCAGAAAGTGTTCCTCAGTAAGTTTTTTTAAGAAAAGCGTGCGTCAAATAAAAGACGAAATTTTATGTACTATGTAAGCCTGTCTGAATTACATTCAATGTTTCGTTGTGTAGGTCTTCTGAATTACTGAGATGACCAAGTGCTATCTGTTTCGTGCGTCGACATCCATTTGAACATTTTCAAACTGTTTTCTTGAAACGCTGACCCCAACGATCCCTCTACCAAAACTGTGAAATTTCTGGTCCCAGGATTGGGGGTTCTGTAGTTGAGAGGGCACTAATGATTATGTAGTGAAAATGAAAAAAAAAATTGAAAAGCTTTTCTTATCTTGTATATAAAGCAGATAGACTAGGTGCTTTGTTATCATGATCAAGAGTACCTGTCAGCCTATTCAGAAATTTTGAAAATTGTGGCCCCAGGGTGAGGGGTTCTGCTTGATGGGGACTTTATTGATTATAAAGTGAAAGTGCATTATTTCTTTGAAAATCGTCTTCTCTTCTACTGCAGATAATCTAATGCAACGTTATGATGATCAAGAGTAGCTATTTCAAAAGTTTCGAGTTTGTGACCCCACAGCCGCGGGTTCTGAGAGGGGGCTTTTGTGAAAGCAAATTATTTCTTTGAAATTTTTCTTCTCTGCTACAGGGTATTAAACAAATTAGCCATGTGCAAAGTTATGATGAGCTATTGCAAGAATGCATCTTTCAAAATTGAGAAATTCATGGCCCCCGGATAAAGGACAGGGTGTAAGGACAGGGCATTATTAACTATATAATAAAATACATTTATTTGTTGAAAAAAAATTTCCCTGCTACTAGGTATTTAGCATTGTAAATTTCTAGGCACCTAGGTCGGGAGCTCTGGTATACTAATTTTATAGTGAAAATGCATTACTGTATACAAGGTTATTTTCGCCCCGTCTTATTTTCGCCCTTTCACTCTTGCAAACAATTTTGTCCCGTTTTGAATTCGCCTATTCATAGTTTTGTTTACGAAATTATACTGTATTATTTGAATTCGCCCCGTTTTAAAATCGCCCAAATGATAGTAGGGCGAAAGGGGCGAAAATAAAACGGGGGCGAAAATTCCCCTGTATACAGTATTTCTTTTATCGTCTCTGCCCCCGTTTATCTTTTTGGAAAAAGAATATATCAGGTCAAATTATATATTAGAAAAGAGAAATTAAAACATTATTATCACGTCATTGAATGATTAGAGTAAATGAATATATTTATTTACAGAGCCCTTAAGCAGAACAAAGGGTCTATTTTGAAAGCATCTGTGGAGTATATGAAGGAATTAATGACGCAAAGGCGCAATTTGCAGAAGTTGAAGGAAGATCAAAAGACCATGAATTCGAAAAATCAGAAACTACTTATCCGAATTTTTGTAAGGAGTCACGTTTTCAGTCTGTTCAAATTAAAAGAATATAATTTTATATACATGTGACAGCTGTATAAACCACAACAAGGTCGGAAAATACCATATGATTAAGGAATATGTTAGAAGTTCATAATTCTTTTACAAGTAAAAGCGGTTCTAATGTTTTATTTTTAAACATTAGGGATGGTCATTCATTAAATCGACCATATAACGTACGAAAAGATTGTTTTAAACAAGATTGCAGATATTCTTGTTTCATAAAATTCTTCGTCAATAATTATCTCGTGTTAGAAATTGTTCACATGTAGAACATGATATTCCGAATCGAATCAACTCAGAGATATAAACAGCGTATTCAGGTGATGAAGGTATATTGCTGCATAAATAAGGGAAGTTGATGATTGCAAAGTTCAGGTCATCGCGTTTATTTATGATAAGACGTTGTTAGATTATTATTAACGTCTTTTCGTAGATCCAAATACAAACCAGATGCGTCATGCTCTGTAGTATCCTTTATTTCAAGCTCAATTAGTCTGGTCCGATACATAGAAAAAAATACATCTAACGGCAAATAATCATTATTTAGTCCAGCATAGTCTTTTCACCTATTTTGAGTATGCTAAATTCGAAAAAAAAAATAGGCTGACCTTCCTGAAAATAACGTTCAAAGAGGACAAAATGGCGGAAGTCCATTTAAAAAAAAATTCTCTGAATATTGTTCAAATATGGAAAATTATGTGTAATTATCTCTCTGTGTGTAATGCAACTTTCAAAATGATAAAAGAACGCTAACGTTATTACTTTTACGGGGCCAAGTCTAATTCGAATGTACATGACTTTTGCACAGCTCTTTAACTTCATGCTGTCATAATTGTGACAGTAAACCTTTCCCAAATATTGTAATTTTAAGATAAAATTATTATTATCAGTTACGCCTACTGGTCTGTGTGTGATTTAACGACAAGAATTCAGGGGGAAAAGCTGAAAGAGCTTTAACGACATCACTGTTGTTCGATTTTGTAAGCAATGCAAGAAGCTGAAGAATGACAGGCTCGCTTAAATATGTTCGTAGACGTCAATGGATATCATACTAAAAACTGATGGCAGAACATCAAAAGAAATATGCTCGCAATCTAAATATTTCCATTTTTCTCTAAACAATTAACTACACCGATAATTCACCTGCACCGAAATGTATTTATACCACAATATGGCAATTTTAGAGTTATTGGTCATAAAAAATATAAACTTTGAAATTAAGACCTAGACCGACCTAAATGGTCAACTTTTTTGAGATCTCTAGGGCAGATATACAAGAAATATGGGGGAAAATGTGATAATTTGGCAAGTTTAAATAAAATTCCCATAGGGTATAGTAGTAAAATATGACATCTTTTTAGATGGCCCCCTAAGAAATCGGGATGGGAAATATTCGGTTCTTTTTAATTTTAACAATAAATAAAATAGTAAAAATTCATTAGCGGAAAATTATCAAAAGCCCTAGGGTAGAAATAATTAGACTCGGTGTCGTTAATTCTAAAAAAAAAATATAAATCCATAACTAATTGGGATATATCGTATCGACATAAGGATAGAAATAGCTATTTATGATTAAAAATACCTCATCGATATGTCTAATGTAAAAATGAAGGTCACAACCATTTTTTTTTTCACTTAAAAGTTTTTAAACAATTTTTTCCCGATATAGATACAAAAATAAGTCTGCTGATAATAATAGGGCGCAATTGGTACCCATCGGTATTTAGGGGGGAAACGATAATTAAACATGAAATTCCACTGTGTAATTATATTAAATTCTTTAAATGCGCAATTTTCACTTAGGATGATTTCTCATGATAGAAAATTTACCGGAAGACGGTGACTTCAAATTTTACGTGATATGCTGAGTTTATTATTATTATTATTTTTGAATAAGTTTAAATTACGAATGCTACAAATAATACTTAATCATAATTTATTTCAGCAACTGGAATTGAAATTAAAGCTGTATGGTTTGACGGAAGAGTTCGACCATTGTAGGATCAAAAGGAGGAAAAAGCCCAAGAAACGTTTGACTGAAATCAATGCTATGGTAGAGGATCTTACTAAACAAGGCATGCCCGAAGTTCTTGAGCCAAATATCTCAACACCTCCTCGCAAAAGAGCCAAAGACAGCGCTTGGATGCCCAATAACAAGCAGAAGCTTATGTCACCTGCTAAACTAACCTTACAGCAGCATCTCAGGAATAAAATGGCTGAGGGAGGACACTCTTCTGCCCAAAGTGATGACAGTATATTAAATGATGAATTTACTGACCACGTTGATCAACTGGAAAAACAGAAAAAAGAACAAACTGCCCCTTTATCTTATTCAGCTATTCCGATCACAGAAAGATCGACTGAGCGAAATGATACAACTTCATTTCCGTACGACAAAGCAGATTCTGGTTTAAAGGACGAGGAAGGAGTTTTGGAACTATCGACAGAGCAATGCGACATTTTGCTTGATCTGTTTGAGAACAATCAGAACAACAATGAACTTATATTAAATACGACTTTCTTGCCAAATCCAAACGATGCCTCCGCAAACCAAGGGTGTTTGTCGCCGGTAACGTCTACCTGCAACATATTGGAAAGATTGTTAAGAAGGCAGAGCTCAGCTTCTGACTGCAGCTCTCGATCGAGCGGATTGGAGGATTCAACCGAAAGTGTGACGGGCTTACGTTAGAAATGTGTAGATAAAGAAACATGTAGGACAAATTGTGCTTTTAAATAAGTATTTGTAGTATTCCTGTAGTCTTCTTTGCATGATGTACAAACCAAAGAAAAAAATCTTTATTATCATATCTTGCCATCTGAGTATAATCACCTTCAGCCATATGCTTTGAATTATTCGTAAAATCTGGGAATAAAGAAGAAAATTTGGTTCCTATTTCTGCCCTCTTCATGCAAAATAAATCATGTTAACACGCAAATTAAGTATGTAGACATGGAACTTATTAATGTCAAACATGTAAGATACTTATTTTGACATTCTAATAACCAATTTCTTTAGATTATCTAATTTTAATCTTAATAAGGTTACTTACTAATGACTTTAATATTACATTATATTTGTCTTGTTTATTGGACTTTTGAGCTTGAATCTTGTTCGTTATCTCCATATATTTTATACCAAAAAAAAATGCATAAGATTATTTTGACATGCAACTGGTGTCAAATACAAGATGATTATCTGAATATATGTATATGTAAACAACTAATTACATGTAATGTCAACATACACGGTGATGATGTGAACATGAAGTTTATTATGACAAAGTGCCATATATGTATGTTGACAAGTAACGTATTACCTTGTTCACATAAAAATCGTGCATGTTAAAATACAAATCACATGTTGACATAAAAAGAAAAGTTGCATGTAAACTTAACTATCTTGCATTTTAACAGAAATCAGTCGCAGGTCTACATAAATATGTTGCATGTTTACATAAATTAATCGCTTATTGACAAAATTTTGTTGCATCTTGTTTAAATGATGTCATATACTGGCGTAAGCATGATTATCAACATTTAAATTTATTTAGTTTTTTTTTAAAACGAGTGGTAACTTGCATGTTCAAATAATTATCTCGCATGTTGAAATAATAATTTTGCATGATTACATACTTTTTTTAGCAAGTCAACATAATTAATTTTGCACATATGGCAGAAATATGCCACCATAGAATCAGTTAAATAACCACTTTTACAGCACAACGAAGAATACTGATTTTTCTAACATATATCGGCTGTTTGTTAAAATGCAATATATAGTAAGTGTCTTAAATGGCAATTTAAAATGAATATTTTAATCTTAATTTATATACAGCTTTACTTTGCATAGCTACAGTATACAGGCAGCCTTTATTAATAGTTTTCAATTAGATCAAAATGGCATCAATTTAAAAATATTACATCATGAAGTTCACGTTTTCCCACAGGTTTAGCATATTTTATATAAACCTGACTGCTTATTTTCAAGCAGTTTTTCTTCAAGAAGATATTGAGCACAGGTTGTCATATACAGCCAGTGAGTGCATATAAATGTGAAAAATATATTGGAAATATATCTAAATCAATCTCCTCAGTAAATAAAAATCAATTAACCATATCCGAATATCATTCTAAAATGTTTATATTTAGGGGGGCAAAATTGGCTCTTACCATATATAGTCCTTTAAATACAATTTTCCAACTTATACCACAATTCTTTTTATTAGCCATGTATACATCATATTGTCAACATTATATAATATAATGTTACAAGAAAATTGCAAAATAAGTTCATTCATACATATAACCATAATTTTTATATGATGCTCGCTCTTATTTTGGGAGGTCGGGTGTCAAAATCAGAGCGTATCATTCCTCACGTACTTAAATATTCAATAAATACTTATTATATATACAAAAGGCTTAATTCTAAGTATTCTCAGGGAACAAAGCCCTTTATTTTCTATACAAATATTTAAAACGATTATTTGGAGTACATGAAATAAACGACGATATTAAATTCATAGGTGTTTTCCTTTACTTTGTTTGTGACCCAAATATTGTGCTATTGCTTGAACTGTGTTGCCAAATACAGACTGAACAAAATCAATATTTTCAGGAATGCAAAGCACGACTAAATACCACAAGAGACTAAACACAACAAAAGAGACTAAAAACAGGAATCTTGTCCCACAAGTGTAAATAAAATAATTCCAAAAGTTTTTTTTAAATAATTTTAGATCGAAAAGTGACTGTTTGTCGTGCGTACGTTGTGCTTTCTGCAACCTTTTCACGATATTTACTTATTTCAAAACTCAGCTTGAAAACTTTTATCTATACTTGTAACTTACAATAAAATTACACAATGGAAATAAAAGTAGCCAATGTATAAATAATGGCCTAAAATTAGTATGAACGTATGATGTAAAACATAGAGATAACGAACAGTATTGAACATCCAAGTCCATAAAACAAAACAAAATAGGAGCAGAGCAACCATAAACCACCATCACATCGGAGGTGGATTCAGGTGCCATGAAGGAGTGAGCATCCCCTTCCGACAGGTCACACCCGCCATGTGCTCTTTGTCATGGTCTGGAAATAGCGGTAAATCTGTTGTTTACTGAGTATTCACCGTAAAGATAATGAACTAACAATAAACATGAAAAAGTCAGTCAGCATATAACTCAATGATAAATTGTATTTGCTGACAAGGTCATTGTATCGACCATAGAACCAACGAAATGATGACTTAAACTGATACTTCCGATTTCTTGTTTCATCAACTTGCTTGTTAATAATTTATCTCTTTTTAGAATTTTTTCATACGTAGAGCATGTTCTTGCGTATCGAATCAACTGAGATGCATAAACTCCGTATGCAGGTGATAAAGGTATATTGCAACATAAGTAAAGGAAGTTGACAATTGAAAAGTAAAGAGTCATCCCGTTTATAACAGAGTTTAGTTGTTTAATTACCATTAACGTCTTTTTCAAGTGATATATCCAAATATGAAACAGATGATCCAGATTCTGTGATATCTTTTACTTCAAGCTCACCGGGATTCTTAATATGCGTGAAATATTCCCAAAAGGGACATTGAATAGATATCATTTTCCAGTCAACTGAAGAGGTTTCTTAAAGGTTTAGCAAGAACACAGATCTTCTTTCATCCTGATTTTCTACACTCTTAGAATAAAGGAACCAAATTCAACTGAAATTTCACGAAATATTATTTGTTTTGTAATTGTCAACTTGTGAAGTGGTGCTTTAATTTTAATACAGAAAAAAAACTGTGGTTCAGTATTTTTTTTAAACCAATAAAATGATCTGAATTTCAAAAATCAAATTGGGAAGTTATTCAAATGAATTATGTACAAAAATTCCCCGCCTTCTTCTACCAGCAACATGGGGAGAACTCTACAAAATAAAACACAGGAAAAGGTTAATATCATGCCAAGTTCACAAATTAAGATATCTGTGAAATATGAACTCAAACACTAAGGTCAAGGTCAAAAGGTCAAATATATTTATACCAATGGAGAGGTTTTGTCACATAAAAATATGAAACCTTTAGCACCGAATGTTCAAAACTAGAGGTTAAAGTTTTTTTTATTTTATGTAAAAGTAGGACTTACTCGAAGGTCAAGGTCAAGAGCTCAAATTTGGTGGAACTTAATGAAAGGTCTTGTCAAAAGGAATACATATGTGAAATATGAAAGCCATATCCTCAAACAGTAAACAAGACCCAGGGGCCACATCGCTCAGTTGATAAGTTTAAATATAAAAGTGGGTTCAAGGGAGGAGGGGGAGGTGGCTATTTGAACAAACTTCAATCTATACTTCCTACAGATACTTTTAAATAAATATGACAATTAATGGCTTTGCTTTTTATAAGATGAAAAAATTTATTGATATAGCCTCTACATTATTTTCTATGATCCACTTTTATGGCTCCTCTATTCTCCTGGTTGGTCATGATTTGAACAAATTTGAATCTACACTACCCGAGGATGCTTCCATGTAAATATAAACAAACACAGCTTTTCTATACTTGTTTAGAAGATTTCTAAAAATTTTCCTATGTACAACATGTATTCCTATGTTAAACTTTGATACCCGATTGTAGCCCCACCCTACCCCATGGGGTCATGTTTGAACAAACTTGCATCTACACAACCAGAAGATACTTCCATATTACTATGACATACTATGGCTTTGCTGTTCTTGAGAAAAAGAATTTTAAAGATTTTCCATATGTATTCTTTTGTTAAACTTTGATCCCCCATTATGGCCCCATCTTACCCCTGTGGGTTATGATTTGAACAAACTTGAATTTATACTTCCTGAGGATGCTTCCACATGAGTTTCATTTTCATGACCCAATGGTTCGTGAGAAGATGTTAAAAGAATTTCGATATGTTTTCCTATGTAAAAAATTTGATCTCTCATCATGGCCCCACTCTGCCCTTGGGGGTCTTGATTTGAACAAACTTGAATCTACACTACCTGAGAATGCTTCCACATGAGTTTCATATTTCCTGGCCCAGTGGTTCTTGAGAAGAGGATTTTTATAAGATGCCCTTAATTTTTCACTAATTCATAATTATCTCCCCTTAAAAGATGGTATGGCACTTTATTTGAGCAAACTTGTATTCCCCTCACCCAAGGATACTTTGTGGCAAGTATGGTTGAAACTGGCCACGTTGTCCTTGAGAAGGAGATGAAAATGTGAAAAATTTACGACGACAACAACGACAACGACGCCAACAACGACGACAGACAACGGACAGTTTTTTTTATCAGAAAAGCTCACTTGAGCCTTCGGCTCATGTGAACTAAATAGTTATAGACACGATTAAAGGTTTTTTTCTGATAAACAGATTACTAAACAAGCAGTCAGACAGACAGACAGACGAAATCGGCAAAAACTTTACACCCTCGATTGGCCTCGAATTGTCTGTTACGGAGGCATAAAATTCAAATAGTGAAAATGCTCATCCTGCAGGAATTCATAAAATCGATTTTTTTCCTTATACACTTCTTGACTTACAATTCCTTGTTTATCACAGATAATTGGAGGAGTAAACACACTCCTGTCTTTGATCCCGGGTGAAAAGCTTGAGTACAAAAGAAACTCCGAGTGGCCCTTGACCTCTGTAAACATCATGTGATTTATTAGAAATTTTAAAATAGGCTTAATGTCCACAATGTTAACGTATTCTTATGGAAAGTTAAAAGAGATTTATTGACTTTAACAATGAATGTTGTCGTAGACAGTTCTAAAGAAAAGTCACAGAAGATATAAAAAATCATATCTTTGACATTTATATAATTTTTTGAACGTGAGTGCAGCAGTAACTGTTTCATAAAATACAATATGCTGTTAATATATTTACCGTTTGAAAAATGTGCCTCTATTGGAATACAGTCCTCAGTGACGGTGATATACATATCATGTTTATCAGTTTTATATTTATACATATGTATTGGTGTCTCTTTGGGTTGCTGTCCAAGATATGATTGTCCAAGAAAACTGGCATCCTCTAAAATCAAGGAAGAAAGATATGTTCTAGCACAATGACACACCTTACACAATATCAATATATTTTATCAATACCCCTGCTATTTTTTTTTAAAATATGGTTTTTAGCACTTAAAAAACTTTGCATGACATGAAAACAGCGATAGAATGTACATCTTACCCGGTATACAAGGATCACTGAAGTTTCCTAACGGAAAAATAAGACAGGCACCATTGGACAAAACGTATTCTTTTCCCTTTAGAGAGATTTAAGTATTAAAATATTTTTATTTATTATGTCTGCATGTCAATTTTCTTGTCTAAAACTAGGGGAAAATATTTAATTTCACAAGAAGATTCTTACATTTAGAAAAACTTTTTATATATTCTCAGACTATGCTATAGTGTACTGATATATATAGTTACTATAGTCAATGATAATGACCATACTTTAATGTTGTTATGCTCTTCTAGAATAATGTATTGTTTAAATAGGTTTTTGTAAACATTGAGACTTTTTGGTGAGTAATATCATTGTAACTTCACAGTATCTCACAGAAACATGAAAGAAATTTAAAAAACTATTATATGTATTGAACAATCTTCGTTTTCAATCATTCTTTTGAAATCCACATTGGCTATTCAGAAATAAGAAGAAATACGCACCTCCTTATAGTCCATGAATATAGTCGATGTGACATTTTTGGTGTAGCTAATGGAATGCAATGCTATTTTTTCCTCATCAATGTCATATGACACACGCTGCATACCCTTCAAGAAGAATTAAGCTTTAAGCGTAGAGTAAATAAGAAAGAACATAGTAAACGCTTTTAAAACTTGTGAAATACGTACCCTGTCAGCAACACCGCTTTTATATTCTACTTGGAAGGTATCTATGGTAACTTCGTACTGTCTTGGAGGACAGCACTGTCCATTAACACCAACCACGAGAGTCAAAACCAGAAAAAATCCGTTCTTAATCATTGTTTTCCAAAATATGTTTGGGAAATGTTAAAGCTTGGCTCTAAAGTTTGCAAATTGTTACTAAGTTGATAACAACTATCAGATCCAAAGTGTAAGTAAACTCTATTATCTTGGCCATTAATTTTACAAATGTGTCCTTCCTAGGGCTACAAAAGTTGCATTCACCTGACTGAAATGTATATCCTTTTTGAATTTTTAAAATTCCAACCAAAATTGATAATTTTGTGCATGCTTTTGAATTTTTTGTGCGTGTGTTTTTGACAAATTAGTTTACAGGTCTGTGTTGTTATAGACATATAATACAGAATTAAATGCTGTTATAATAATGGAAATTAGCGTTAGACAATTTTTTTAACTTTTTCAAATAAAAATCTATCTTATTGGGTAATTTTACAGCGGTTTCCACGTATGTCTATGATATCCTCCTCCTTGTATTTTCAGTTCGTCTTCATTTAGGTGATCTGTTCTCTTCTTTACTGGATAACTGTTTAAATCAACCCCAAACTCCTTCAACTAGAAATGGTTCTGTTTCCGAAACTTATGATTCATTGTTAACATATCTTTTCACTATGTGCAGGAGTCATATCCTGCTTAACATAGTGTTGCTTGATAATTTGGCGCTCCACATCACCGCCCAACGTAATATAACCAGTTTTGACATTGTCTAATTTAATGCGCTCTGGCATATATCGGTAAAGTTATATGTGTCATCAATGCTGAAAGATGACTTTTAAAACACGAGTATATGTATTTATGTAGATTAATTTTGTGACATTATATTTATAAAACCTAGAAAACAAAGTTGTTTCATTGACAATGCTGATCAGGATTGTAAAAATAGTCTGTGAAAAAAAATTGATACCTTTTTTTTTTTTTTTTTTTTTTTTCTGCTTTGTTTTTTTTTTGGGGGGGGGGGGGCGAACTTGTATTTGAGATATATAGTTTGGTAACTAAACGAAAATGAAAAACATTGTTGAATTTATGCATAAATAAATGATTTTATTAAAGGCACAGTTTCCAGAACAAATTCACAAACACTACGATCTACGTTTTGACGTAATCAGTGTTGTGTCGACAGCTGATTTGTTAGATTCGTTTACCTAAAAGGATAATGTTATTTTAAGAGATATTTCATTGAAATTTTCAGGCATTATTAAAAATGTTGATCATGATGTATGCCAATTGTTAGCAATATTCTCAAAGTAAAAATGTTTGCGTTTTTCTGGGACAATCCTGGTAAATGTAATCATTCCCCTTTTTTTTTAAATCTAAGTATTTCCAAAGTGTAGTAATTTATTCGATTCGATTTGATTTTTATTTTTTATTTTTCGAGTTTTAAAAGTATAGATGATACAAGAAATTATCAAAAAAATTAAGACATACGTGTTGAGTTTGGTAAATTTTAATGTTTTCCTCGTGTTTAATAAAAAAAATGAAGAAGTCGTTATATGTCTGTAAAAAAAAATCAACAGATTATGAAATATATAATTTAATGTTCTTTGGTGTTTTTAAGAATGAAAAAAGGATGTAGTCATCATCTCCATGAAAAAGTTGTCTTCGATGGCTTAAATTGAGAAAAGAAGGAATATCGGTGAAACTGGTTTTCTGCAAATAAAAATGAAAAAAAAATATTCAAATGTTCCCATGACATGCTTAATTTTTCAGACTTTTTTTTGATACAATATATACTTTAATAAATTAAGAGAAAACACTTTTATATGACATTAATATGTAATTAAAATATATGGAGATAATGAACAATATTCAAGCTCAAAAGAATTCCTTTATCAACATTTCAGTTGAAAAAAGTATGATACTGACCTGAAAAAATACACAAAATATATACTTGCCTGTTAAGAACATATTTTTGGTGGTGTAAAGATAGAAGAGTCCTTTATACCCATAGACATGTTATAAAAAATCCTCATAAACTGACCATCTGAAATTATGTTTAATGTCTAACATAAATTGTTAAACGACTTTTATATAATAGTAATAAGGCCTCTTTTTAGGATGCATAATAGATCAAATGAGATACAATTTGTGTACCTGGTTGAGGGGACTTAGAAGAAAAGGAAACCATTTCTATGGGGGTACAATTATCTCCGACAGTAGTTAATTCCGTCATGTTGTTTTCCAGAGTTACCATGTAGGTCTTCAGCTTTATGATATTAGGAGACACGCCCATGAAGGATTCGCGAACTAATTTAGCTTCATCTAAAATATATAGCTTGTTTAGAATTTGATACAAAAAAATCAGTATCTTGTTTTCTAGGATCTGTACTCATGTTAAACCTGTGGAATTAGACCTGGGATGCAGATTTGGTTGAAAGGACCCGTAGATGACACTTTACAAATTCCTCTCGCCCAGGTGAAGGATTTACCCTGATGGAAAATAAAAGTAAGCATAAATACACTACCGTGAAGATTTGATAAAAATAAAACAATGATTTATGGTCTTTAAGAATAATAATGCGATTCAAAGTTTTATTTCCTTTGTGTGCATTAAAAAACAAAACAGAATACACAGATGATTTTTTGTTATTCAGGATACCCTGATGGTTGACTGAATATTTGAAAACAAAGGTAGGGGAAATTTCAAACAAATCTCAGTCTGTGTTCATTAAAAACCATTCTACCTCAGATACAAAACAAGAATTTCAGGAGGGAAAAGCTCTCTTTTTTCAGTTAGTTTTTTAAAAGTTGATTTCATATTCACTCCGAACTTGCTCTACTATCCCATAGTATAAATTATTCTTAACAAAGATAAAAGCTTACAGCAGAGAAATCTTCTATTCTATCGAATTCATCTTCCTTAGTTTGAGCCACAACATGTGTCCTTAGTTTTTTTGACATGGCATCATAGGAAAATCTCTAAAAGACAAAATAGTTTATCGGTACATTCTTTTAAAAAATCAAAGTACAGAAAGTAATGTTGGGAGTTGCTTGCAATAACGATTTCAATCAATAACAGAATAATGGATTCTAATTCTATACAAACTGGAAAGATCTTTGATTTAAAATTTCTCTTCAAGTCAGCTATTATAAACACACGCTCTTGAATATATAATGATATTCGACTTACCGCTGTTTGAAATCGTTTATCCATTGTACTTGAAAGAGATGTCATTGTGTCGATATTGGTCTGAAACTGTGGAGGGACACAACACTGTGACGCTTCTCCGGTTATCATCGATACCGTCAGTGACAGTAGAAAGACAAACATCTTTGATATCTTTTGTTCTTTTTATTCTGTTTAATTTTGAATATAAAGCTTTTTATGTAGACAATGAAACTAGATCGGAGATATAATTTTTTTTTTACATTTGGTGTTTTTACGTGTGTTATGTGAACACTATGATAACGAAAAAAATTACACCTGTGTAAAAAACGTATGGTCACATAAAAAAACACTTTGAAAATTAATATTTTGAAACATTTTGAAAAGTTAAATTGATTTAAAAAGACTTTGTCTATTATTTACTCAATAATGCATTGTGGAAAATTTGCTAAAACGTTTCCCCGTGGTTCTTGAGAATAAGTCGAAAATGTTGAAACGGACGGACGTAGGTCGATAGCAAAAATATATTAGATACGGACCCTTCAGTTCTCAGCTCCACAGGTGAGCTTAAATATTTAAAATCTTCTTATGAAGATCAGGAAAGTCATGATCAATACTGTAGTGCATATTCAGGGTTTTTTCTTTCTAATAATGAACCTGGGGTTAGGTTTGGTAAAAAATCAGCATAATCAGCATATAAAAAAACTTACACTGGAATACAAGGACAGCAGAGCTACAAAACGTCTTATTTATTTGTAATCATTCTCGTTTAAAGTCATCATTTCGTAGTCTATGAGTTACAGTCGATACAATGACCTTGTCAGCAAATACAATTTATCATTGAGACAGATGCTGACGTTTTTCATACTTATTATTAGTCCATTATCTATACACTGATTTGACGACTGATTTTTCCGTTATCTCCCGATCATGACAAGGAGCACATGGCGGGTGTGACCGTTCAGCAGGGGATGCTCACTCCTCCATGGTACCTGATCCCACCTCTGATGTTTCGGAGGTCCTTGTTTGCTCTGCTCCTATTTTGTATTATTTTATGGACTTTGAGATTGAATACTGTTCGTTATCTCCATATCCTTCTCAGGTAGCTGTACCCCCCGCTTGAAAAGTGGAAGGGTATATAGTAATCGGGATTTCCGTCCGTCTGTACGTCCGTCCGTCCGTCTGTTACGCTTTATCTGTTATCCGCAACTCCTCTTATATTACCGAGTGAAATTTAATGAAACTTTCACAGAATCTTTATTGCATATTGCCATTGTGCACCTCCTATTTCACTTTTTTATTCGACATGTATTTTAGGTTTCCCATAGCAAAGCATGGACATTGCCATTATATGTTTACCTATGACGTCACATATAGAAGCTTCTGGATAACATTTGATAGGACGAGTTATTCCTCTTTACACATTACCGTAGAACAATATATAGCAACACATGGACATTATGGGAGGCGGGGGGTATCATTTAGTGAGCTCATTGCTCACAGTTCCTCCAGTTTATATTCGAATTTGTTGAAATCATGACCCTGGGGTAGGAGGACGGTAAGACCATAGTAAGTGATCATTTTTTTCCAAAAATAGGAATGTACGTACAAGTGTATAAAGAAAATTTACATGTTTTCTTTAAGAACAGTAAAGTCATGCTGAATCAAATTTTTATGCAAGCATTCTGAGATTGTGTTGATTAGTGATAATGGAAGTCAGGTGGGGACATAATATGTGATCAGTTTTACAATGGATAGTGAAAAATCTTTTGAAGAATAGAGTTGTGTAGTTACTTAGATAACATAAAGGCCAAGGTTATATTAGTTTTTTTTCATAACATAAACTGTGTAATGCTCTGCAATATACCTTCATCACCTGCATACTTAGTATGTATATCTCAGTTGATTCGATACGCAAGAGCATGCTCTACGTATGAACACCTTCTAAAACGAGGTAAATTATTTACTAGTAAGTGAAGAAACAAGAATATCAACAGTCTCGTTCAAAGTCATCATTTCGTAAGTTCTTTGGTCGATACAATGAACTTGTCGGCAAATACAATTTATCATTGAGACAAACGCTGACGGACGTTTTTCATACTAATTGTTAGTTCATTATTTTTACACTGAATTGACAACGGATTTGTCCGTTATTTCCCGATCATAACAAGGAGCACACGGCGGGTGTGACCGGTCAGCAGGGGATGCTCACTCCTCCATGACACCTGATCCTACCTCTGATGTTTCGGAGGTCCGTATTTGTTCTGCTCCTAATTTGTATTGTTTTATGGACTTTGGGATTGAATACTGTTCGTTATCTCCATAACATTCTGCACTGAACATTTTCATCGTGCGGTCTGTTTTATCAGGCAAGAAATTAAAGAGAAATATAACTAAACCCGGTTGTAACTAAATTTTAAGAGTCCATATACTTGTTTCTATTTACTGAATTGGTATAAACGGAACAAAATATTTTTTTTACCTTAGGCTTAGGAATTAAAAGATTTCAAAAACTTACTGTTCATGGAATATATGTAAATCACAGAATGTTCTTTAAATAGACATTATACTACCAGTACCCTATGTTGTTCAGTTCAAATATCAGTGTGTTGTCAGAGTTTATCAGTAAGACGTGTACTTATTATAGGGTACATTATTTGTATTTCTCAAAGGGGCAGATTAAGTATTAAGATAAAAGCGTTAATAAAAGAATATGTACATTTACTTTATGATAATAAATTAAAAGGATATTTTTTTTTAAAAGTGCATTGTCCTGAGAAAAACAATATAATTTACTTAATTTACTCTCTAAAAAGTAATTTCTTTTCGAAACCCGGAAAAATTTAAATATTTGAGAAAAGAATGTTATGAAACTTTCATCATATTTTGTTAATAGAGGCATATTTTAATGAGGTTTCTTGTAATACAAAAACCTTTAAATTATTGAGTCAAGACTTTATTATTTCTATGGAATAATATAACTTGAATATAGTAATAATAGCAATAGTGTTCAGTGGATTTAGAAAGAAAAAAAACTAAATATAAGATAATTTCAAAACAATCTTTCCCTGAAATATACAATCTAAATTTTCTTTTGAAACAATGGGCATTTCTATCTGCAACATCCTAAATGTTTTCAAGGATTATTTTGAGGTGACAGAAAAACAGAATAACTTTAATTTTTAAATATCAGTTTATTCTTCCATTAATTAAATACACCGGCAATACATTTTAATAGGTGATAAGACGAATCATATCAGTGCTACACCACGTCTTCTCTGTACTGTAACGTGAGGAAGGGTCTGAAAAAGAAAATATTTCAAATTTGTCACCTTAATGCTAAATGCATTAAATGGACACTGATTAAAAACACCACAGGTAAGCACGGTCCTATTAATTTCCTTACCTGTCCATGATGAACACATATGTCGGGGGGAGTAAACACGCTTGGATTTGTTATTCCCAGAGAAAAGTTCGAATAAACGATGAACTCAATATAACCTTTCTCCTCTGTCAATCATAATGTAAATATTAGATATAGAGTTTCAAAATGATATTAACGTCAAGGGAGATTCCATTATCAAACAGAGAAACTGTGTAATATTTTACAAAACAGAATGTCAGAGACCATAATGTATGAGACCATCTCCATTAAATGGAAAATAAATTAAAAGTTTACCACTTGAAAAATGAGCCTCCATCGGTATGCAGTCCTCGGTGACTGTAGCATAAACATCATTAGTGTCCTTTCTGAAGTTATACATGTTAACCGGGACTTCGTTAGGTGGTTGACCCATGTATGTTCTATCCAACAGTTTCGCTCCCTCTGATATTTAATAAAAAGTAACACTTCAATATCATTTATATTGGGTCATTTAGAAAAGATCTTAATTTCTCTTGCTTAAACAAGATAGTATAAATTTGTCACTAGAAATAATATATCATTTTTTTTTCATTGAAGGAATAAACTTCTTGGCTACCAAATCTGAGCTTAGGCAGTAAACGCTTTATAATCCACAAAGCGAGTGTAGAGAAAAGAATACAATTTCATAAAATATATGACAGTGAAATATGTTGAGGATACGGACCTCCAAAACATCAGAGGGGGATCAGGTGCCGAGCAACGAACAGATTTGAGTTCAAAAACCATAAAACAGTACAAAATAGGAGCAGAGTAAACATGGAAGGGAGCAAACACGGAGCTTTTAAACATCAGGGGTGGACAGGTGTCATGGATGAGTGACCATCCCCTGCCGACCGGTCATACCCGCCGTGTGCTCCTTGTCATGTTCGTGAATTAATAGAAAAAACAATTGTGACTTCAGTTTATAAATAATTGACTAACAATGAGTATGAAAACCATCAGTCAGCATTTGACTCAATGATGAATTGTACTTGCTGACAAGGTAATTTTATCGACTATAGCTCATAAAATGATGACTTTAAAGAAGACTGCTATTAATCTTGTTTCATCATCTTGTTTGCCAATAATTTACCTCAATTTTAAAATTGTACATACGTATAGCATGTTCTTTCCTCTGGAATTTACAGTGATATATAAACTCCGTATGCAGGTGAAGAAGGTATATTGCTGCATAAGCTCGGGAAGTAGACGAATAAAAAGTTAAAGTTATCACGGTTATCATAGATTTTGGTTGTAAGATTACTATTATTTTTACTTCTTTTCACGTATAAGATTTAAAAAAAAGTAAGTTATATAATACATGTACACCTTGCCAAGACATTATTTAAAGTGATTAATCATTAATAATGAGAATGATAAAGGGGAATGACTTCTCATGGATTTGACATAATGTCCAGGTCCGGTCGGTCGCTCCCTTCATCATCATGACCTTGGGTTTATTTACTTCATTGTTGTATTCTTCAGATTAAGATTGTAGACATCGAGCATGACGATGTACTTTGCGATCAAAACAATAAAATATATCTTTACTCCCTATTCAATTTAAATCGATCTAATGAAAATATTTTGCGTGTGGTGTGTGAAGGTTTGTTTGTGTGTGTATTTTTGTTCTTTTGTATGTATGAAAATTGTCTAAAATAAAGCATTATTTAAAAAACAATTTAAAAACAGAAAATATTTTTATAAATCGATCTTATGAAAAAAAATGTATTTTTACTAAATATGAATTTAAATTGATCTTATGAATATATTTTGTATACAGTGTTAATGAACAGATTTCTATTACCTGGTACACATGACTCGCTGAAGTTTGCTATTGGAAGTACACGGCATACGCCATTGGCCCAAACGTATTCTTTACCCTGAAAGTGTTAAATACATACGTTCTACTTATTCTGAAATATCTAATACAAATAAATCGTAGTCAGTTTATCATACTTTATTTTTCTTTTTTTTTGGGGGGGGGGGGTCATTTTCTGCTAAAATGATACAATACATATTTCTTGTCACACACATTACTGCACCTATTCATTTCTTTCCCCCTTTTTCATATTAAATAGATATCACTTCCAATATTACCTTTACCCACTCAAAACAAGACTAGCAAGATGTGTTTTTTAAATACTGATGCCCCTCTACGGCATCTTATATTGAGGGTTGAATTTTCCCAAATACATGTCAAAGTCCACTGTCAAGGTCAAAAGGTCAAAATTGTTGGTATTTAAAGGAAAGTCTTGTCCAAAGAAATGTATGTGTATTATGAAACACTATTACTAAATGTTCAAGGTGAAGTAAAGGTAGATCAATATCTAAGGCCAGGGTCAACAAGTCAAAAATATTTATACCCTTTGAAGATTAATATTCATGTGAAGTATAAAACCCCTAACGCCAAGTGTTCAAAAATTGTTAGCAATTCTTAAGAGTATCATTTTAGGCAAAATTTGTTCAAAATCCAAGGGAAACAGGAGGTCAAATTTGGTGGTACCCTAGGAAACCTTGTGTGACAAGGAATATACAAGCCGACCCACACTCTTCTTCATTCAAAAGTTATGGGCAATGTTAAAGTTTTAACAAACAAACAGACGGACGGGCGGGAAAAAACTATATTCCCCGGAATCTTCAATTACGCGGGCATAATTAGAAGAAATCTTACCGCTTTATAATCCATGATGACGTCAGAAGTAATATTTTTGGTGTAGTCTACACCATGTACAGCTAAGCGTTTCCCAACCACATCGTAAGCAACTCGTTGCATTCCCTAAAAATAGACTGGAAATATAAGGTTTGCTTTATAAAACATTAATTTTAACACCCTGTTCTTGAAATGTAGCATCATTTTATCCTTGTCATTGTAATACTGTTTTATCCTAACTGTACATTTTAGTAATAACGATTGATTTAATGAATTATCTATAGCATCATTTTTTAGTGCAGCCATGCCTTACCCTTATAATTTTCAAAACAAAGAGTTACTTAATTGCACTATTGTCTTACCCTTTTAATTCTTAAGTTTTACCTTGCCCTACCTTCGTAATTCTAACATTACATTACCTTACTCTTATATTTCTTACATAACCATGTCTTACCCTTGTTATTAAAACGTAACATTGTCCTAAGCTTAAAATTCTTACCCTTTTAATTCTAACACTGGCTTACCCGTGTAATTGTTACGAAACCGTTCGTCTTTACCGCAGCATAGATATCTTCGGTGACTTCAAACTGTTTAGGGGGACAGCAGTGGCTCCAAACACCCGCCACAAAGATGGAAATCATGAACCATCCTCTAATCTCCATTGCTTCCACTGATATGAGGTCCCCGGGTAGTGCAGTTCTGTTTACCAATTCCTGCAGTGCTCGATAACACATCTGTTTACTAATGTGTCCTTTACTAACCTTTCTTTATCTTGTTTTGGAACATTCTTCTTACTACGTTTTAGCCTAAATCAGCTGTTTGCAATACGAACAAGTTTGTTTTAAAAGACTTATTTATTCATCAATTATGCAAAAATCTTTAATTCAAAATTAAATAGATATATAGTATATAATGAAAAAACTAAATTAAATTACTTTAAATATTTTTTTCGCGTGATATTGTTGGAACCAAAGAAATGAGCTCAACTTTTCATAACTCGAATAGTTTATGGGATTTTTTTTAGATCAAGCCGTTCCTTTTTTTTTTTACATTAAATTTTTTATATAAAATCCTCGGCAGCAAAATTTATAGTGTCATATTACACCCCCAAACCATCGGAAATTCAAGACGGTGGAATAGGTATCCGAGGAGTGAGCATCCCCTCTTGATGGGTCACATCCGCCGATATCAACAAAATCTTTCGATCAGAAGGGTGTGTGGCAACGCACTTTGAAAAAATTACGCACTTTGAAAAAATTTTCAAAATGCGTTAAAACTGGGACAAAATCAACGCACTTAGTAATAAATATAAAAGTGCGTTTAATTCGGGACACACTCAACGCACTTAAAAATTTTTTGCGTTAAGAGTGTACATATGCATTTTTACCACGGGGACATTTTACGCACTTTGAAAAAAAATATTCATTAAACAAAAAAATCAAGACTTAGATTTTAGTACTAGTAATTGAGAGAATCAATTTGTAATAATTGTATCTTTCGAAAAACTTTTAAATTTACATGTGCTCATTTAACCCCACGGAGAAGTTCAACAAGGAGAAGCTCAACTCTTTTTTTCTTATACATTGTATACAGCCGTCGGTACAAATTCAAAGTTGACCCCCCAAGGTGAGTCCAATTTTCAATGCCTATAATATGTATATCTTTGCAAAACATTTGTGTGCGTAAGCCCCCCCCCCCTTCCGGTACCGATGCCTATGTTACACCTACATATAAATTATTATGTATTTGCATAACTGTTATGACTTTGGAAATTTTCAATAAATTTTAGTTTACAAAAAAAGCATGCAAACTGATGGGAAAAAAATAATTACAGTAAAACATTCAAGAGAAAAAAGAATTTCCAAAGCATAGAAAAATCAAAATCGCTCACTTTAACATCCTGAAGTGACCTCATCACCGAAGAGTTATCAAACAGGTTAAATTATTTATCATACCTAAGATTTGCAAGAATATTGACCAAACCATACACATTTTTTCAAAGTGCGTTAATATGGTCCCAAATTTAACACACTTAATTTGAAAAGAAATTTTATTTTTTCAAAGTGCGTTGTAACATGGGTGTAACAAGCTTCGTCTGCTTTAATCACATACTGGCACACGTGTGCTACATGTCATGATCGAACATTAACGGGAAAATTTGAAAACAATTTAAGTGTATATAATGGCCTAATAATTATTATTTATACACAACATGACAAAAAGTAAAGGTTTAGATTTATCAAAATGAACACATCACATAATAAATCAAAAACACTATGTACAAAACAAAGTTTGAGTACAAAATAAATTAAAAACAAATACCTTACAAAAAAGTTTGACATCTTGGGGGCTGTTCTCTGATTTAAATACATAGATTAAAGATATAACCTGGGGGAGCCCAGCAGGTTATCAATCGGTATCCCAGAACCTGGGGTGAGCCCAGCAAGTTCCCAATTAAAATTACCTGGGGGGAGCCCAGCAGGCAATCATCGATACCGAACAAAGCAATATTTTTTGGTTGTAGTCAATCAACCTGGGGGGAGTCCAGCAGGTTGATAATAATATAAGTACCCGGGGGAGCCCGGCAGGTTATATTACTAAATGTGAACTTAAAACATGGTACTAATACAGCAGGTATTTCAATCAACCTGGGGGGAGCCCAGCAGGTTGTTAATAATTTAAGTTGTTAAAGTACCTGGAGGGAGCCCGGCAGGCTACTATATGTGAACTTAAAGCATGGTAAAAATACATTAGGTATTTTGTGTGTTGAGTACACAATTTGTAATATTTAATAATAAAGCTTTAATAAGCATTTCGCTTATTTGAATTTGGGGGTAGAAAAATTCCAGATACATGGGAATTTTAATGTCCAAATGCATTTAACATTATAACAATTAAAATGGAGCAGCCCCTTTAAATCAGTTGATGAATACTACAAACAATGATTGAAGTAAAAGATTTAAACAAAGATAATAGTGTACATCATAACTATAATGAGATACATGTAACAAATTTTACAATTTTAAAGATGCAATGTCAAACAGATGTATGTTAGTATTTATACAACAGGAGATGAAGGGGTGGTGGGTGGGATAACCAAATTAAAGGTACAATACTAAACACTTCGATTACAAAAGACAGACTAAGATAGCATCCCTTTCCGCACCTCTGATTGGTTCAATTGATCACGTGGTTTTGTTTATAAATATCCCAGTCACATGTCTACTGATTACGTCAACAGTTAAGCAACATAGTTGTGTGTAAACAAAAATTACATAAATTTACATTGAATAACGTCAGTCTGCATTTGACCTAATGGTAAACTTTTTTCTGGCAAGACCATTGGATCGACCATAGAACTTGAGAAAAGTATGCTTTTACAAGAGAATGTTAAAAACTCTTTTTTCAAATATTGTCCGTATACATGTATATTGATTGATTGATTGTATATTGTTTAACACCCTTCTCGAGAATTTTTCACTCATATGGAGACGCCACCATATGTCGGTAGAGTGCTGCAAATATTGTCCTATACTCGGCAATCAGGGCCATTGAGCATTGAGCAGGGAGGGATCTTTTTCGTGCCAGCACCTACTGCGACACGGGACAATGGTTTATACGGTCTCATCCGGAGACCGGTCTCCACGTCCTACAGTGGGATTCGAACCCGCGACGTAAGGATTGACTCCTCACTTCGCCACTCTTGAGCAGAGCCTCTAACCACTGCGCCACGCGGGCGACTTGTTCGTATAAGCATACTTTAGTGCATCGAAACAACTGAGATTATTATATATGTAAGACTCCAAAGTGCGATGGTGACGCCAAAGTCCGATGGTCTCGCCAAACCCCGATGGTCTGCGCCAAACCCCGATGGCTCGGTGTCTTTACGGGCGCCAAAGTCCGATGGCTCGTTTCCTCTGAGACACGTTGCGCTTAAGGTCAAGATCTAGTAAATGAAAGGTGCCTACAGATTTACCAAACTTGAGAAATAAATTCCTTTATTGATGCTTTATAACTATAGCTTGGTCAAATAAGGTGTTTCGGGGCATAATTTGTAGGTAAACACGATGAAAAACTGTATTTAAAACTGTCATTTTCAATGAAAAATAAAGAAAACCAGTCATTAATATGGGAGTTTTTTTCGTATTCGGCAAAGGAAATGTATCCAGATTGCCTACAGTCTCTCAGAAAACGGTAATTAGTATGTTCATGGCCTCTTCTTTAAATCTATATCAAATTTAATATAGGTATCCGGTTTACTTTTCATATGATTTTAAATTGAATGACATGAAAATACTCTATTTTCTACATAATTCTACTAAAGCCGTAAAGTACGGGAAAACAAAAGTTGAAATTGATTATGACGTCATAATGGATCTAGCACCAAAAAATTAGTCTCAAGTTATTTACTAGATCTTGACCTTAAGGTAGGTCGCGGGTTTGCTTTTGTCATCAATTTTGGTACACAATCTAGAACGATTCGAGCGGTTGTTTTGTGCACATTTGATTATGACGTCAGTTGCGTCACAAAGGCAACGTTACGTTGTTTCCCGTTTAATTCTCTGCAAATGACTTCATTTCTGTACGAATCAAATAGATTAATACATAGTGCATGATATTGTACATGTTTTATATTTAAATTTCAGTCTGAATTCTGATGTGATTATATGTAATGTCTTAGGATTAATGAAATACAATACCAAAAGAAAGGAATAATTTATATTGTAAGTGTAACTAAAATGCTAAAAGTCAATCAGAATAAATCAGTGTAAAAGTTGTGGAATGCAGAAAGAAAGGTATCATGAATAAAAATTGCTTAGCGGAAAACTTGAGAGGTTGTATTTGCGCACATTATTTGAAACTAAGGGGAACATGCGTATTGCATCAGACTGCCAATCAAAGCCGGGGCGAAAATATGCGTATACTTTTCAGAATGGAATCAATCTTCATCACTAAAAGCGGGTTAAATTCAATTACATGTATTTTCCTGTTTCTTTTTTTTTTAAATTATCATCATCATAATTATTATTGTTTGGTTGTTATGTGTCAAATTTTAAATCTCGTATATATATATTCGCCTTGTTTTGCTGGCTAATAAATCGTGACATGCATTCAATACTTAATCAAATTTATACAAACGGTAAGATCTATAAGACACTGTAAACAATTTACAAGTATCATTTTTTTCTACATATTTTTTTTAAACAAAAGCTCAAAGTGTATAAAAGCTAAATGCAAGTGTTTTACATTTTGCGTATTGAAATTTGATTCAGAGAATTTGAAATTTACAAATGTTTGAGATTTAAGGCCATATACCATAGCTTGCGACTAGAAAGAACATTGCAGGTAACCCAACCCCCCACCCCCGGCCGCTTATTTCCTCAGTATCGGGATGTTTTTTTTTTACCGTTTTCGAATAAAGTAATCAAATTTTTGTGCTGTGCCTGAAATCCTATTGGCCATGAATTTCCTAAAAATTCGGGTACTTATATTTTATCCCTCGCGTTGTCGTCGCCTTGTGTTAATTATCATGCACGAGGAATGTTTATACAGTTCATTCTGCCTTTTTGATCAGAATATGAATTTCACAATACTAGTGAAAATAAGTTGCTGGTCATTTTGATACATGTCTCCGCAATCAATTAAATGATGAATAAAATTAGATTTTGTATCTATGTCACCTTTTAGATCTTGCATATTCCAAAGGTCAAAATATTTATAATCGTACTTTAAACTTGACTACGTTCAACAAATGACGTAGATATAAATTACGCCATAAACGCAACATTTTAGCAGTATAAAAGAAAACTTCGAAATTATTTAGCAAAAAATCTAGCGAGAAGACATATTGATTTTTTTATATCAATAGATTTGATTTTACCTCATCTTCACATTTTGAAATTCCTGACTAATTCGTCTACGTCTTTAAAAAGTTATCCATCTTTTTTAAAAGAAACTATTTTCACAAAATTGGCTTAAAAACGTCATTTTTCCATACATTTCAATAGTAAAGCGTAAAAAAAGTACTAACAACAATACCACATTTACAGTAATATATCATTAAAACTACGTAGGCAAATTTCATAAAAATTGCAGATAATACGCTGTGAATTCTAAGGAACATTATATCAAATTTTCAGGATATGTTTTCTCGTAAGATTTTTTACATAGTAAACCCGCGACCTACCTTAAGGTCAAGATCTAGTAAATGAAAGGTGCCTACAGATTTATCAAACTTGAGAAATAAATTCCTTTATTGATGCTTTACAACTTTAGCTTGGTCAAATAAGGTGTTTCGGGGCATAATTTGTAGGTAAACAAGATGAAAAACTGTATTTTAAACTGTCATTTTCAATGAAAAATTAAGAAAACCAGTCATGAATATGGGATTTTTTTCGTATTCGGCAAAGAAAATGTACCCAGATTGCCTACAGTCTCTCAGAAAACGGTAATTAGTATGTTCATGGCCTCTTCTTTAATTCAATATCAAATTTAATATAGGTATCCGGTTTACTTTTCATATGATTTCAAATTGAATGACATGAAAATACTCTATTTTCTACATAATTCTGCTAAAGCCGTAAAGTACGGGAAAAAAAGAAAGTTGAAATTGATTATGACGTCATAATGGATCTAGCACCAAAAAATTAGTCTCAAGTTATTTACTAGATCTTGACCTTAAGTGCGATGGTCTGACACGCCAAAGTCCGATGGTGCGGATGAACAATCAACGTTTATGACGTCACAATAATCCGACGTCAATCCTTGATGCCGTTGTCCTGCATTCAAATGCCATCATTTCTGAATTTGTACTAGAATACAATTTCATTGATTTTACTTATTGCTTGCACCTCCCAGAGATATTAGGGTTAGTTCTCTCACACCACTCGATAGATTAGGGTTGGTGTTTGCATTGCACAACCTGAGAGATTTAGGGTTAGTCCTCGCACACTGTAGTCGAGTGGTTAAGGTTAGTCTTGCACCCATCCAAGATATCTAGGTTATTGTTAATACACACTTTTCGAGCGTTAGTGTGGCTCAACTATCTGAGAGATAGGGTTGGTTTTCGCATTTATTTATACATACTTGTTTTTAAGATCTTGGCATTGCGTGACATTGAGGTTTGGTGCAGTGGAACTATGACGTCATAAACGTTAATTGATTTCCGCACCATAGGACTTTAGCGCGTCAGACCATCGGGGATTGGCGCAGGTTATATTTCAAACCTTTCTTTGAATTAAATGTGTAGATATAACGAACAAACATTTAATTCAAGCTTCACTTCCATTGAACCATGCAAAAGAATCAAGAGTAAACTCGGACTTCTACAACATTAGAGGTAGGATCAGATCACATCGAAGAGGAGAATTCCACAACATCAGAGGTACATGTAGGATCAGATCCCATCGAGGAGGAGGAGCATTCCACAAATTCAGATGTAGGATCAGATCCCATCGAGGAGGAGGAGCATTCCACAAATTCAGATGTAGGATCAGATACCATCGAGGAGGAGAATTCCACATCATCAGAAGTACATGTAGGATCAGATCCCATCGAGGAGGAGCATTTAACAACATCAGAGGTAGGATCAAATCCCATTTGCTCCTCCTCCATTCCACAACATCAGAGGTATCAGATCCCATCGAGGAGAAGGAACATTCCACAAATTCAGATGTAGGATCAGATCACATCAAGGAGGAGCATTCTCTGTTGAATTATCATACCAACTGTGATTCTTGACTTATTTATCAGTCAATAAGAAACAAAATTGTAAACACTTTGTGTGTCAGAGGTAGGGTCAGATCACATCAACATCCCCTCTTTTCACGTTAAAAGAAAAGAGGAGCGGATCGTCACCCTTTGCTAGCGAAGATGAAAATGGACTGACAATTCGTATGAAAAAAGTCAGTCATCATTTTTTTGAAATAAGTTAATCAAACGAAAGATATTTTTTCCTTCATTTAAAACTCTGTTTAATACCATAATAGGAAAAATGTAATGTACATATTATGTAAATGATAAAAAAAATATGATTGGTATAAAAATATATAATTACAAAAAGAGGTCATTGAATGAGCAACAGATAATAACAAACACGTGAAATCTAAATGCACATCTACATAATTTACTCCTAAACATTAATCAAAGAAAGTTTTGATGGACATATCACAATTTGTATGGAATTCTTATCTATTACAAAAAGTAATCAGATCACCACACGATACATTTCTTTCTCGGGTTCATGAAACTTCCAGGCTTACAGTTAAAAGCTTCACTGAACTCCTCATTATTTTGTAACGGACCCACGACCCTACAAACAAGAGAAAAAACTGTGAAGTTATAGTTTAACCACTTTAAAGAATTCCGACTTGTAATATTATGGAAAAGTAAAGGTCCACTTCAACGAATATCGATAAGTAAAATACTGCAATATCATATATGTTAAAGTTAAGCCAAATCAAACCATTCTTACATGGAGGTTTTTTTTTATCATATATAAACGAAAGGAACTAAACTGTTTTTTTTTAAATTCATTTATCTGGTATTTACATTTTTTTCTGTCAAATGTTTTATAGTCGATTTTAAAGAAATAGATATTAATTTATATATAATAATGGCAAGACACACTTTAGCAGCCAATAACCTTAATAAGGTCGATGTAATTTTTTAGAATGGTAAATCATTTACCTTGATTTAAAATTTCCATGAGGGTCAACCAGAATTCGTCTTAAAGCCTCTTCTGGTCTCACCAAACCACACCATACCTAAAAAAGTGAGCACATTTTATAGTACACGCTGCACATCTACATAATGAGTAAAATTAAGTTAAAATAATATTAATTTATCTGTCGAACATTTAAACTTTTAATAATATGATTTTATAAAACCTTCAGGAAAAATGAGAGTTACTTACCTTTCAATGAGATAAACACAGTTAAAAAGTACAGGCCATAGGAGAGTTACTTACCTTTCAATAAGATCATATCTCTTTGTAACAAAAGCTATAGTGCAAATGAGGTTTACTTACGTGAGCAGCATTTAAGAAGAAGAGTTGTTTAGGTGTATACTCTAATCCTGGGAGGTGAGGTTCTGGTTTTCCATCTCTAGCCTTCTTCAACCATTTCTGATATGCCTGTTAAATTTTAACAAAACTGAATGTGTGAATGTATTTTGTTACTTGTTGTTATAAAATAATAGAACTTTTATTTAAATTCTTATTTGATTTAGTTTGTATGTGTACATAATTCTTATTGCTATTAAATGTTTATAATAGCTAATAACTTTTAGACTATTTTTAAATAAATAAATTTTAGTAACACGTCATTTGTTTGGGTAAAAGGTTTTATCCATTCTGTATAACATAAGTTGCCTGCATCACATTGAGTTATATCAAAAAAATATATTACTCCGCTTGACGTTACTTTTAAAATATACTCAATTTGAAGCCTTTTTCTGGAAGAAAAAATTTCTCATTGTTTACATTGAAATTAAATTATAAGGAATGAAGCTTTGCAGTTTAGAAAGCCTAAATCCTCCCAAGTTATGTTATATATCATATATTAACAAAAGTTGAAATAAGCTTCATTCCTTAAAAAAAGTAATAAACACTAAAGTACTTTATAGCATTAAATCCCCCTTCTCTGGAATTCTATTGCACATGTTATATTAATAGAAAAATAATTCCTTGCTTTAGCAACATTCATATTCCGTTCTCTACAATAAGATGTATGCCTTACCATCCAGCTCTCCTTTAGTCCGCCATTGTCAGCAATGTTCTCACCAAGGGTAAGTTTACCATTTAACTGCAATAGTCAGAAAGTTTGTACAGTGTTCAATATGTAACATTTGACACCTGGTTCATTATTTTTTTCTTGTACTGAAAGTACTGAAAGTACTGATAGGATTTGATTTATGCACAGAGCAATCAAACCTTTATTATGCAAGATCTTGTTGGACTTCAATCTTACTAACAATTATTTTAAGAATACAAATCAGACCTCTGATATAGGGAAATTGCTAGATATAACATGAAATAAATCATGTCTCAAAGATTGATAACATTCGCGTGATTTTTAACTATCTACTGATGTTTGGAGTTTTGGGGTTATTAGAAATACCAAAAGAATACTTACTCTTTGTAACAGCGTTTGCTCGAATCAATGTGGTACTTCCTAATATAACTTCAAAGAATATACGCAAGTATTTAAAAATAACCATACCTTGTTTTTTTTAAAAGCAGGATTGGAACAAAAGGGAATTTCTCCTTTTCAAGATTATTTTAAGACCTCATAAAAATCGTCGATAGGGAACTCAATATTCTTGGCAATGTTGATATCAAAGCATTTGTGCGAGAAAAAAGTGAGTGATTTATAAGTATTTTAACCCAACAAATCAGAGATAAGTAAAACATGTATTTCATAGAATCTGTTGTCTATGACGTCAAAATGCCTGGAGTTTAATGAATCGAAATTTTTTTTTAATTCTTTTTATAGGAAATGAAGAAGTAATGGATTGCTAGAATAGGTATAGATACCGGTATTAGTAAACAAAATTGGTATAAAATGACGTCGTATAGACTATTTTCTCATCGAGTAAGGGCCGGTACACACGGTAAGGCTTGCCTTATAAGTCTAGAACCTTACGTTTTGCAGGACGTACGGCTCTCATGTCCATATGCTAAGGCAAGACTTACAATATTATAAACAACAATTACATAAATTCCATGTGTTTTGAGCCATTAACAGTGCACATTGGTAAACGGAAAAATAGATTACTAGCTAGGACTTTAATATATTTTTATTGACCAATGCATCCATACTTCTTAACAAAGAAGAGGGGATTGACTGAAGTATTTGTGAATATTTCATTATCTTATTCGAATATATACTTTGTGTTTTCTTCATTATAGCATTGTGTATGGTTTTATAAAAAAAAGATTGAACTTTGGATAAATGGTTTTCATTGTTCAAGAAGTAAATGTCAGCTAAGTTTTGTATTTAGAAATAGTCTAAATACAGCAGTGTTCTATTCCTAAGTCAGAGACTTGTAAGGCTCGAAAAAAACGTGTATTAAGGGTGTACACACGGTAAGGCTAGAACTTAAGTTTCATGACTTATAAGGCAAGCCTTACCGTGTGCACTGGCCCTAAGGTATAATTACATGTTTATGGAATTTTGATATCCTGTCCTTTTTCGCAATTCTGTTCTGTACAACATATGCATCAATCATAGTTTATGTTTGTCGATGCGTTCTCTAGGACCTTACCTTTTTATCGGCCTCCTCTACAGTATATCCACTGTACTGATCTGTCATACAGTCCGCCTTCGATTTAAAGTTTGTAATGGAAGTGTTGCTCCACCACTGTTTTAGATTTCCGAACCCATCATACTGTCGGCCTAATAAAAAGGTACTTCCGTTTGACAGCTGCATTATGCATAAAGTTGATGTATGATTTAAGCATCCGAAAGAAAAACATCATAAATTTTTTAAAGGTAAAATTTTGATACAAGGAATTTTTTTAACTGTTCTATTACTTTACATTGAAAAAAAATGGTTAATACCTAAAGTGGTCAATCTATATGATATAAATAATCTAGATTTGCGATCGTAACATAAAAAAACTAGTATAAAGCCCTCTTTTTATTCTGCTTTAGACAAAATTGTACTTCCCCAGTGATACTCACCACTATCGTCAAAACCATGCGTCATCTCATGACCTATGACGTAACCTATCCCTCCATAATTAAGGTACCTGAAAAAATATACGTTTTTTTTAACAGCATAAAATGATTTTGCTTATAGGTCAGGCAGGGGATGCTCACTCCTCCGTGGCACCTGATCCCACCTCTGATGTTTTGGATGTCCGTGTTTGCTCTGCTCCTATTTTGTATTGTTTTATGGACTTTTGATCATGAATACTGTTCGTTATCTCCATATCCTTTATTCAAAAATGTCAGCGGAATTCTTACAAGTGTTGGAATTGAAACAGTATGTGCTATATATCAATTTGGCCCATGTATACACAAAAATAAAGTGTTCATTTTTATATATAAATAGAACTCACTGAGGGTAACCACTTTTGTAGAATGGCGGTTGTAGGATTCCGGCTGGAAACACTACAAAGGAAATGGAAAATATGTTTGCAAAGGTTTTAAGGTTTATTATTAACTCATATTCCGGCTAGAAACATTTCATATAAAAGAAAAAAAATAAACATGATTATTGTAATCTTATACATATAAGACACTTACTTATTTGATTTCTTGCTGGATTGTAGTATGCATTGACCGTTGCTGGAGGAGTCTCCCATCTGTTTAAAAGGCAAAAGACATTTTTTCTTACCTCATTCTATCCAAATATAAACTATCAGTACACCCTTATTCTTTTTAATAACTCACTTATTCCTATCCACGGGTTTGGGGAGGATTTCTAAATTCTCTTTGGTTCCCAGCTTCAGGTAGTTTAGGGTGTTTGTAAAGTAATTGTCCGCAGTGAATTTGTACTGAAAATATTGGAAGACTTTTCATTATTCGTTTATATAAGCTTATTCCTCATGTAGGATTCATCTTAAGTTCCCTTTGTATGCATCCAAAGCTGGGCAGATAGACATGATAAATTTGATTTATATGTATACAATTTATTCATTTTATAAAACAACTCTGATTGCAAGTGAAAGTACGTACACACTTTATTATGAATAATATTTATAGTTTCCATTCCTACGTCGACACGATATATCCTGGTGAGCTTGAGATAACAGATACCACGGAGTCTGACACATCTGCTTCATACTAAGATATTTTACTTGAAGAGGATGTTAATGGTAATCTTACAACCAAACTATATGATAAACGTGATGATTTTAACTTTTCTATCGTCAACTTCCCTCAGATCATTCGATACACAAGGGCATGCTCTACGTATGAACAATATCTAAAACGAGGTAAATTATTGACTAGCAAATTAATGAAACAACAATATCAGCATTCTCTTTTAAAGTCATCATTTCGTAGGTTCTATGGTCGATACCTTGTCAGCAAATACAATTCATCATTGAGTCAAATGCTGACTGACGTTTTTCATACTAATTGTTAGTCCATTATTTAAACACTGAATTGACGAGGGATTTTCCCGTTATTTCCCGATCATGACAAGGAGCATACGGCGGGTGTGACCGGTCAGCAGGGGATGCTCACTCCTTCATGACACCTGATCCCACCACTGATGTTTCGGAGGTCCGTGTTTGCTCTGCTCCTATTTTGTATTGTTTTATGGACTTTGTTTTTGAATACTGTTCGTTATCTCCATATCCTTCTATTGAAACTATATATAAACCTAAAGTATAAAATCAGCGCTTTCAGAGAATTTTGCAAACAATTTCATCAGTAATTTTACTATTAAAAATTAATGCAACAACTAAATCTAATACTATACAAGTATTAGATTTAGTTGTTGTATTCATTTTTAATCGTAATCAAGAACTTCATCGCTTAACCTGTTTATATCAACTCACGTCTTTATATCTCTCATTCAGGAATGTGTCATTTTTCACTTCCGGTGGGTAACCTATTCTTGGGTGTATTTGATCCGCCTGTCCACAAATAGAAACAATTAAAATTTAATCAAATGCAGACTTAAAAGAATTAAATTCACCAATATCTGGGATTATCATGTCTAAAACTCCTTTATATAAAAGATAAAATGGAACTAAAAATCTACAAATCTGTAAGCAGGATATAAAACCAATTACCAAAACAGGTTTTATACCCTGCTTAAAGGTTTGTAGATTTTAGATCAATTTTAGATCTTCATAAATTCCATTTCTCCTCCTTGTTTCAATTCTATTTTCAGTGATTCGTAATTTATGCCCTGTTCACATATTTGTTTTCTTGGTAGATTTTTTCCATAGATCAATTACTGTACCTTATTTTCACTTTTTCGTAAATATGTCATTCCAGAAGAACGTCAAATTATGTATTTGGTGTATGCAATATTTATATTCTACATTAAGGTTAATGTTTAAACGTAAGAAGTGACTAAAGCATATTCGATAATTTGCAATATCTCCTAGTTATATTTTCCAACTGAGAAATGATACCTTTTCTCTAGCTTTTCTTTTGGTCTCAGCATCCATCCATTCGTTTCGTGCTAATAAATCTTTCATGGCTGACCTTAAGTTCTCTATCATCTCATCTGCCTGATTTTAAAATTTAGAAAACCATATAAAATCCTTAAATCGATAACATTAATGTGCATATTGTTACTCCTTTTCTTGCAAGCGTTTTACGGAATTTACATCAAAAATCATAATATAAAATGTTACTTTAATCATAAAACAGAAACATATATGGCATTTATATCTTAAAGAATGTTTTTGAAGACAGTATTCAATAAACTGTTATCGCCGAGATGTTTAGATATAATGGAAAAGAACACATAGCTGGACATTCAATGACTAACGTATTTCATTACAAACTCTTGACAGTGCTATTCGAGAATACCTTAAGCATTGGAAGGAGATGAATGAGAAAGTTTTTTGAAATGTTATATTGTTTCTTCAATATGTAAAGAGTGTTGGGGTAAGGAGCAGACTTAACCTTGGATTTGGCTTTGCTGTCGAACGTTTCTTCCAAGAAAGGTTTCCCAACGGCTAACCCCACAATGCTGTTGGCCACACCCACGCAAGTCTTCCAGCGAGGGGGTTGAACCGCTGACCCCGTCAACGCCTTAGGAATGGAAAAACAGAGATATTCCAGACACAAGAACTTGATATAATGAGAAAGAATAACATTGAATGAGAACATAAGGAGAATCAAATTACCTCTCTGTAATCACCATATATTTCTCGAACAATTTTAGGCATTGAACTAACCATCAACTTCAGGGCACGCCATACGACGTAGTTCTGTAGCATCCTAAAAATTTGGAAAGAACAACTATTGCGTCACTTATTATTAGGTACTTTAATTTAAATGCAAAATAAATCTGTCATTTCTAACCTTTTGTCTTCATTAGCGAGTGCATTTACAATTCTGGACATATAATCGGGGTTTCTATTAATAACGGGAGTAGACGAATCAACAGTAATATTCAGGTCTTTCCGTCCAAGAGTTGCTGTGAAATATTGTACCCACTCAAACTAAACAATGTTAAAAAATATATATATTGACAATAGTAGTTAAAATAGCACATAAATAAAACGCATACATATTAAATGTTCATATCAAAATTTGGTTTAACTGACCTTTCAAACACTTACATTATAAAAAGATAATCAAGAAAAACAGAAATCTCACTGATATTTTTTAGGGGATTTATAATATGCTGACACATAGATCTAATTATAATTCATAAAAAGAACTCAGAGATATTACATGTAAAATATGTACTGACATTTGGATATTTAGCTTGTAGTTCTGATATCGTCATTTTGTTGTAGAGTTTCTCATCATCTCTCCTCTCGTCTGAAGGCATTGTAGCCTGATCAAAAATTAAATATAACTATTAAAAAAATAAATGTTTACATGTACAAAGAATAACATGTAACTTGACCTAAAATAAAATACCCACTTTATTCAAACAATCATCAAGATGACAACATTTTACTGTATCAAATAATTCTTATTGACAGAAAAATAAAAACATGTTACTTAAACTATCAAATATTGTACAGTGTATATTTGGCAAATATATAATGCTTCTTAAGGAACTCAGAACTTTTTTTTCTATTTTAGATTTAATAAATTTCAAGCATCAGAAACTAAATGGAAACAAGAATTTTGTACATTTGCCACGTCTATCTCAAAGTCCACTATTTCTTTCATGTCGTTTTCGGCGGTTGTAGGATCAGCACCAAAGATAACGGCCATTTTTGTGGCATATGTTTCATACGCCTTCAGTTTATGGTCATCCCTACCCTTCAGGAAATAGTCCCTATCTGGAAGTCCTAAAGCAGGCTGGTCAATCTGTCAAACATATAAAACATATCAAACCAATAAAATCATATCAAATCACCACTGCTACAAGTAAAATAATCATTCATGTACTCTGATCTTGAAATCAATCAATTTTCAACAGAAATCGACATTTGTCAAACTTACATATAAGATGTTCTTCGTTGGGTTTTTGGAGTCATCATAAACATACATGTCCATAAGAGGCGGACTATTTGTATACAGCCTCATCATCGTTAGAAGTTTCGTCAGATCAAACGTGTTCATATCCCAATTCTCTTCCGTCACCGGCCAACCTCCGAGATCTTGTATTAACTTCCGGGCTGATGTTAAATTGTCTTTTTCCAAAGACTCTGTGTTGTAAAATATTATTAAAAGAGGCCACAATCTGAAGTTATATTTTCTTATCTATCAATTGTGTTAGCATTTATTTGTTTGTTTGTGGTTTTTTTTTTTTTTGTATTTACAGTTGCATTTCGTGATAAATGTATAGAATTCTACTTCAACAGTCTCGTTTTAGGTCATCATTTCGTTAGTTCTATAGTCGATACTATGACCTTGTCAGCAGAAACAGTGCAATCTATCATTACATCAAATGCTGACGTAGTTCATATCATACTGATTGTTAGTCCATCATTTACACACTGAACTGCCGACGTGTTTTCCCGATTTTCCCGGAACAGGACAAGGAGCAAACGACGGGTGTGACTGGTCGGCAGGGGATGCTTACTCTTCCATGGCACCTGATCCAACCTCTGACGTTTAAAAGGTCCATGATTGCTCTGCTAGTATTTTGTAATATTAAATGGACTTTTGGGAGCGATTACTGTTACGAACTAAAAGGTCCATTAAACAATTCAAAATTGGAGTAGAGCAAACACGGACCTGCAAAACATCAGAGACGGGATCAAGTGCCATGAAAGAGTGAGCATCCCTGTCGACTGGCCACACAAGACGTGTGGTCCTTATCATGATCGGGAAATAACGGGAAAATTCGTGGACAACTCAATGTGTAAATAAAGGCCTTACAATCGGTGTGAAAAAAGTCGTAATGATAAATGTAGATAGATACAGTGAAATAATTTTCCTGTCAAAATTCTCATATTCAATTTTCATTGTTTACGTCTTAAAACGATCGCATTGATTCCTATGTCTTGCTTTATTTGTAAGCTTTTACATATTAACAATTAAACCACATTATTTTAATGAATTCGGTTGTAAGCTGCTGTGCTTAAGCTCACAATTGGATTCACCACTTTCAATTTGTTCACGAATAAGTTTAATTATATGAAGTGACTTATAAATTATTAATGATATGTCATATTTCTGAGACCTTGCGTGGGAGATGTGGCCTTCTTACCAACTTAAAAGTACGGAGGCTTTGTTCACCAATAAAAAACAAGTGAGTGTCAATTCAATTCGAGTCTTTTAAATCAATTCTAATTAGCTTTGCATAGAAGGACAAGCATGTATATCTATGCGCATATCCTTCCAAAAGGACATCGCACAGACTTTGTAATAAACAGCTTACATGTTAATCATATATAATGATTTAGTAGTCAAATGAAACTGAACATATTCAAATCTTTTATGTGAAAAGAAGAAAACACTTGCTGTGGCCTTCAGCTTGACAATTAGATATCTTAATAATCAATGGTTATTTCAATTCTTATGTCGACACATATTCCAATGGGCTTAAAGTAAAAGATACTACACTGTCTGAAACACCTCCTTCGTAAATGGATATTTCATTAGAAAAAGACGTTCATAGTAGTCTAACAACAAAGCTTCATGATAAACGTGAAGACTAACTTTTGAATCATCAACTTCCTTACTTATGCAGCAATATACCTTCATCACCTGCACACGGAGTGTATACATCTCAGTTGATTCGATACACAAGAACATGCTCTACGAATGAATAATTTTTAATACATGTACGAGATAAATTATCATCAGTTCTGTGGTCAATACAGTGATCTTGGTAGTTGTTTTTCATTCTAATTGTTGGGCCATTATCTATACACTGAATTGACGACAGATTTTTTCGTTATTTCCTGATCATGACAAGGGGAACACAGCGGACTTGACCGGTTGGCAGATAATTATGTTTACTCCGCCATGTCACTTGACCCCACCTCTGATGTTTTAGAGGTCCGTATTGCTTTTCTCCTATTTTGTAATGTTTAATTGATTTTTGAGCTTGAATATACTTCCGTATCTCCACATACTAGTAGTTCACTCTGCTCATTATCCTTCAAAACAGAACCAATGAATATCAAATACGAGAAATTTTTCCACAATTGCTTAAAAGTACTGAAAGATGAATTATATTAACTTATTTTTATATACAATGTACTAAGTATTGCTCCAAGGCATTTAAGACTAACATTATTTACAAATATTAGAAAAGGTGCTTTAAATTTCATAAAGAACAGTGATCAATTTCAAAGAATCTAAAAATAATACATACAGACATAACCTCAAATGGATAGTAACTTACGGGGTTGAACACCACGAAGAAACAACATAAACTACTCCTTGAAGACGTTTCAAGGGAGAGGGCGTAGAAATATATCGAACTTAGGAAGCCACAGGTTTGATAGGCGGCGGAAGATACCCCATCTATGATACTTTTTGTAAATACTATTTGCCCAATTATCTTGTCTTATAACTACAGGTTTATTCTAGTCTCAACACTGTGTGAATGACGTCTTTATATTCTATTTTAGGGTTGTTGCATTTTTGGAATGTTTAGCAAGCCACAACTCTCTCTGTTGCATTAATGAAGTATTGTGCTTTTAGCTTGTTGTATTGAATTTTTAAACTGTTTTATACGTTTTTTATTTGCATAATACTTTGTCATTTGTTTGACCATTCCAATTCCTCTACAAGCAGTTGTTTTTTTTCGTGTCAACAGTTATCCATAAATTACATAGTATTCTAATCCAGGGTATGCTACAAGAGATATACATGTACGTGATTTTATATCTGTGCGGGTTTTAACTTAGTTTGCTATTATAAAAATGAAACAAGTTCATGAAACTTGCTTTCACTAAACTTTAAATTCTTCTCTTAATTGTTATTGGAAAAAATAAACAAATCTACAAGTAGACATATTATGCAAATTTCGAAGATTTAAAAATATGATAAACTGTGAATTAAAAACATAACTTGAAGTGCAGTTTGTCAACTGAAGATTGTTTTATATACCTAAGGCAAGGAATTTCTCAATTTTATTACTAAGGTCGATTGTTTTGCATTACCTTTGTACACATATAGCTGATTATTATGCATGTTAGTTTTTTAATAAGAATTTTTCAAATGTTTTCATGTTAACCTCTGTCAGCTTACATCAATAAACCACTTTTAATCCACGTTTTGAATATAACAACCATTTCAATTAATTCAAACAACTTTTCCATTATTAATTAATTAGATTTACCTATTAATTAAACACTTTTCCATAATTAATTAATTAGATTTACCTAAGTCCACACACGACTTGTACAACGTCTTGGCTTTTTTCACTGATTCAATGTCTTGATCACCGTTATCTTTCTCAAGTAAATCTGTTAAATTACACAAATATTTACAATAAATCAGCAAAATATCATAAACCATGAATATATTTGATTGTGTTTTTGTTGTTAATTTACTAAAATGTTGATCAATTGCAGTTTTCTTTTTGCTGCGTTCTAAAAGATTCTTAGATGTGAAGAAAATAAATGAAACTTTAAAAAGAATAACAATATACACTGTACTTGTTTCTCTCAAAGCATATTTGATAACATTGACTTGAGATAATAATGCCCATTGTTTTCATTAAATTTCTATGCAATAAGAATTTTTTTAATAATAACTCAATGAAGAAGGCAAAACAAACATTTGAGTATGATGTCGACGGAATCATCCACCTGGTAGAACACGCCGGTGATGGATTTATCTTCCGGGATCACCTGCTTCTTCCGGTATAACCCGCATGCGTACTGGAAGAAATCGTTACATGGCTCTACTGAGGTGTCGATAGAGTCGATTAAACTTGATGCTGAAATGAAAGGAATTCATGCTTTTCATTGGAACATATACTTATAAAATAACGTTTCCGTAAATTTCCAAAATCTAAAATAATTTAGTGTTCATCGAGATGCAACGTAGTAATATTTAGTAGGTACATTAAACGAAAGAAGGATGCTGTAATTTCCTCTTAATGAATGAGTATAGCTACCTGCTCGCACACATTCCGGTGAGTTACAGACCTCTGTAAAAAAGAGAGTTATAATAGGCTTTAAAACTGAGGGAATTAAGTAATTCAGTAACCTATATTGGAATGAAAGTCAACGAAGGAACATAAGTTTCGTATGATACAATCTCATAGCTGTTATGTCGTTAAAGTGAGCTAAAGAATACACACCTCTAGTTGTGGTTATTATGTCTGGATTTGAGGTACCCGGATGCTGTTTGTCGGCTCCAGTTTTGGATTCTGCAGATGGAGTGTCGTCATCTTTTTCCGCCCGGATGACGACAACAGCCAGGGCCACTGACACCGCTATAATGGCGGCGAGGGCTAGGACCAAAAGACAGTACAGACGCTTTGACCCAGAGCCCTTCTTTGGATCTTTTATACTACAAGGAAACAAAACTAAAAGAAACACTTCGAAGGATACAAAAAAGAACAAGTACATTGTAAGAACTTTTTAGCTATCCAAGGGTTCCCGATTCAAAATCGACAAGGATAGGAGACCCTTGACCTACAAATTGGATGTAACACGACTCATTTTGTAGTTTACTTAAATCCCGATCATGACATGGAACATACGGCGGGGTGTGACCGGTCACCAGAGGATGCTCACTCCTCCTTGGCACCTGATCCCACCTCTGATTGTGATTGTGAGATTCGTGTTTGTTCTGCTCCAACATTTATGCATTTATTGTTTAATAGCCCATGATCGTAGGAACCGGGGGCAGAGGGGGGGGTGGTCTCCCAATAATTTTACTGATATATAAAAAAATATATAAAAATAGCCATACACATGTGCCCCTGGACAAAAGGTCTGATGACCTTTATTTCTTGCAGAGGAATTGTTTGTAGTTGATAGTGCCCCCTAACGGAAAAATGCTTCCTGCCGGTCTGTTGATGTTTAGGCTTAAATGCTGTTCGCTATCTTCATTTACGTGTATTTCATTGCACAAAAATGCAACTGAAGTTCAAAAACGAAGAAATAACATTTTTGAATTTTTTGGACATCGACTTATTTAGTCGCAAAACACACACACACAAAAAAAATCTCCAATAATTTTCTGAGAGAGAGAGGGGGGTGGTGGATGTATTTTCAAAAGCAATATATGTGTAAATTATAATATTAATAAAAAAACAAAAACATGACGACTTTTAGAAATAAAATCTATCTGCAATTTGAACAACTTTTTTGTTTGTTGGATGGTTTCAGGGATTTTATTTAACCAAAACCCTTGCTCTCATGTGATTTATTTGCCATGAAAGGTATTGCTTGTACGCACGAGGATAACAAATAAAGTTTCACAATTAAATCTTATCTTAATGCTTCCCCATATCAAGTGTCATGTTGACTTGTCATTACAAATCAATTAAATAGCAATGGTCGTCGCTTGACCATGTAATCGCTCCTTTCCTTTACGTCGCCTTAGTATAGAAATTAAAGAAATCATGGCACAAACTTGTGACTTTGATATTTTTTTATTTTAAAAAAATGTTTCTATGTTGACATATATCTATTTCTTTTTTTGCAACATCAAATAACTAAATTAAACTACACCTGTACGTTGTATATAAACCTTAATATATAATAATATTAAAAGTATAACTGACTAAAATTAAATAAGACGAAGAAAAAAATTAAAAGGATTTAAGAAAACTTGTTAAAAATGCTAAATATCTGTACAATACTTAAGGCTATTGTTCTGCAATCATATCATAAACAAGATTGGTTCAGATCTTACACTGCCATAAGTCGTACTTAGGAGACTCCGAGTATTTCAATATTAACACTTACTGCAAAAGACATTATGTAACAGACCAAGATTTTCTGTTAAATACAATACAATCCATGTTATTATTTACGAGATAAGAGGTGTTATATATATTTTTTTTACAAAAAAGTCAAACATAACATTGAATGATTTAAACTCCATAGTTTAAGGTTATGTTATAGGTTTATGGTCCTCTCTATTTCTTCGTTCATCTCAATGAATTTAATTGGTCATTGTTATGTAACTTTACTTTTTATTTCATTTGTAAAGTTCAAGATTGAAGACCATCATTGACCTATTTACCATACCTTTTATGGAGAATGGGATGTCCCTTCTTTTGAACTGCATGTAAATAGCAGTAATTAAGTATCGCTTTCCATGGCAATGATAGCTATTCTTGCTGCCATTTCTCTATTACGTGGAACGGGCGGTATGCTGGATTCAGCAAACCATTTACAGGTACATGTTTGGTCAGATCTCAAAAACAACATTCGCAAGTCTCTAAATAGGCAACGACAACGAAGAAATTCTCCCATACAAAAAAAGTGATATACATGTATCAGAAAATTAATTTTGTTTGAATAAAGATCATCCCTCCATGAAAGGTTTATGCAGGTGCAGCCCCCCACAGAACTCCATCATTGAGTCTAACGAGAAGTCTAATTTAATCTCCGATGTCTCTATCTCCCGCTAATATCAAATGAACTTTTTTTTAAGTAGCAAGACATAATCAATGTCAATTTCTGGACACTTAAGAATTAATAACTTACAGTATACATTAATGAGCGACATTCATTACGCACATAACAATGTATTAACTTTTGCAAAAACAGGAGTTATGAAATATTTTCGACAACAAAATACCTGGTATATTCGGTGCTTCTTTTGTCCATTGCTGGTCATTCTGTCCGACGGAGGAGGCTCGTAATGCGCCGTTTAATTGCAGTGTTTGTTTATGATTAGTTAATCATCGTTTAAACAGATAACGGGTTTATTCCTTTTGAGTTAATGGCGACACGCTGACCCGCAATACGGACTTGCGATTCTAAAAATCCTTTTTTTAAAAGTCCGGTCAGCATGAAAGAAATATTAAACGAGTATAGCATGAAAAACTGCGGATCAATCGTAAACATAATTATCATAAATAAAATAAAATTATAAATCAGAATTATAAATAAAATATGTAAATAATTTTAAACGTCATTTAAAGAAGGAACATATTTTTCCCCCTTATTTTAAATGTAGCGCTCATCTTCATTGTCTGGTGAATAATTACCACAACTTTATTGTAAAAGATGTCAAAACAAACCGTTCGTCTTAATCAAATTACTCTCTTTCCTTCGCAAAGTTAGCACCCCAAGGTAGAATTTTACGGGAGCACTAGTTTTTGATATATAGATACAGAATAACAATACATATTTAATTTTAATTTCCAAACATGTCACGCATTTTTATGATGTATCTTAACATGTCAAGTGCCAACTCTAAATAATTATCGGAATGTTTTTAAGGACAGTTTTCTTAATATAAGACAGAAAAGTCAGGTATTCTTATATATTTTGTACTTAAATAGCCAAGCAATCAATCTTACCCTAAATGGACATCTTGGTCCGAAATGGTGAGCGATGAAGCGGTCAAGTTCTGTTTACTCGAAGACATGTCCACTGAGTCTGTCCGGGGACACGACAGGGCATCGACACGCGATCGATCTGAGACGAGGGATGATGGAACACGTCAAGGACACGCTTCCGTGGATAGAGCCGCGACACCTCACGTGTGTGTCCTCTTAGAACCGTGGACAGAGAGGAGATCCCCGCGTCCACCGCTTCACTGGATGCGGACAATGTGGACAGGACAACAGACGTGACGGACTCTGTAGACAGACCCGTCATAAGTTAACAAAAATGCTTTATGAATTCAAGTGCATTTAAAAGGTTTGGTGGGTGTTTGATGAATGTTTTTGAGACAAGAGGTTGTATACATGTATATATAATGATTGTGTGTTATTTCGATCCTCTAGGGGTCTTGATGTGTGCAAAAATGCGCGTTTTTGTTTCCAGGTGAAATATTCAATTCCGAAATAAAAGAAAGTCCATAGGATTAAAAAAAAAATACGCATGTGTTTATTGAGGTTTGTTTCTACGATTCATAACTCCTGATTATATCATTAATTGTATCCTGTTATTTTTGTTGTCATTTTCCAAATATGTTTAAAAATTACGATTTAGAAATGCAACAATCCCACCAATTTAATCAAGGAGACATAATTATGTAATTAGATACGTGGTTGGAAATTTTATAAAATTTTTGAGATTTGAGGTTGGGGAAGGAGATTTCAGCGGAAAACTTCTTACTTTTATAAAATTATACTCCTGGAACATAATTCTTAAGCCGCACGCCACTGAATAAAGTTTTTTCAACCAGACTTTCAAAAATAGAAAATTAAAGTCCCCCTGCCTACGACAGGCTCAACATCATGAAAATGTGAATAATTCAATTATGAGATTTATTGAACGACTAATCATAATAGCTTCCCGAGACTTAATAACTGCATAACCTGGGTTTGGGCATTTTTGCAATGCAAATTGTAATAACAAGGCAAAATGTAAGAAACTGGGAACATTGCATTTTGCGTCAACTTATATATTGCTTTGATATCAATACAAAATGTTGTATAATGCTCTTTTTGTTTAACGTTTATTTCAAGAATTCACGCTTATTGAGACGCCACCACCTGTCGCAGAGGGCTGCTTTACTCGGCACTCTGAGGCACTGAGCAGTGAAGAATCTTTTTTGTGCCAGGACACCATGACACTGAACCTCAGATAGAGCACGGTAACATGTTCCGCAGAAGTATTTTAATCTGCGAATTATGGATTGCTGACTGACGTTATTCATACTAATGGTTAGGGCATTTTTTTACACACTGAATTTCCCGATCATGACAAGGAGCACACGGCGAATGTGACAGGTCGACAGGGGATGCTCACTCTTCCATGGCACCTGATCCCACTACTAATGTTTTAGAGGTCTGCGTTTGCTCTGCTTTTGTTTTGTAATGCTTTAAGTTTAATGGACTTTGAGCTTGAATACTTTTCGTCATATCCACATATTTCATCTCCTAACCTCGCTACTAAAACGCTTTAACCAATGCGCCACGCGGGCTACATGTAACAATATTCTGAACTTTTAGTACCCCATCCCCCCATCCCCAGCTTGAGTATGTCCGTTCCTACGACTGTCTTGAAGTCAGCTCGTTTGTCTGTACTGTACGCCCGCCCGTCTGAGTGAAATATCCATCTCTTATGCGCAACTCTTCTTATACCACTGAATGAAATTTAATCAAACTTTCACGGAACATCTGTTAAAAAATGTGTCTGATTTAGAGTCGCAAAGGAAGGTTGATTGATTGTCTGTTGTTTAATTTCCCTCTCGGAAATTTTTCACTCATACGGAGACGCCACCACTTGCCGATGGAGAGCTTCAAATTTTGTCTTATACTCGGCATTCAGGACCAGCGAGCAGGGAGGGATATTTATGTGCCAGCATCTACTGCGACACAGAACCTCAGTTTATACGGGCTCATCTGAAGGACCGCTCTCCGGGTCCCACAGTGGGATTCGAACCCACGGCGTAACTTCGCGCAGTGGGGTTCACCCCCCCCCCCCACCCCCACCCCCAAATCGCGCGTTGTAACCAAAAATAAAATATTTGAAGATGCTTAGAAGTAAACAGCGTTTTTGACTCAATTACGATTAAAGTTTTAATTTTTTTTCTTGCAAAGTGAAGGTTCAGAGGATTCTCGTATCTGTTGTTTTTGGGAAGACTTTTACTGTATATGTATATGTCTACGTTATATTTTATAATTTCAGAGGGCATGTTCTAGATCTGTATCAGTTAAATTAACTATAATGTAGGGTACATAAATTATTTTTTAATCTTTATGTCTGAATACTTTACGTGTGATATTTACTTGTACTCAACTTAATCTCGTCCTGTTAATAAGATTCTGCTGCCTAGAAAGACAAATATGTGATACTTTGATCAGCAACGAAGGAGGTGTAACTGTAAATAATACTACTTACGAAAAGTAAACAACTGTATTTTAAAGTGACATACCCGCGAATCTTCTTCAAAATCTGACTTACTGTAATAATATCAAAAAGAAACGAGAAAATCGGCAGGTTTTTCATTTTGATAATCGTATTCAGTAATTTAAAGTTTGGAACATAGATTGTGTAATTTATGTACAACATCTTTGTATGACTATATTTGAATATCAGAAATAAAAACTGGCAAAAAATTATCTTAATGACACACACGGACATCATTCTTTTGTATTATGAATAATATTATCACAGGAGTGAAATATGACTGTAGGAATTTATACGTAATACGAGCGGGAGTGACTGTAACAAGTAAATGAATGTGGTTTTGCATGTTTACTTAGAAAATCGGATTTTGCATGTTTTGACCTGAAATGACTATATGATTTATGTTTTGATTTTAGAATTTAGTGTTGTTTTTTTTCTTTGGTAAAATTACCGTAAAATTAAAGAATAACTTTTTTCCATGCATCATCCACCCATAGAGAAAGAGAGGGAGAGAGAGAGAGCAATATGATAATTTAAAAAATCCTCTTATCCTCTGTGTTTTTTATTAGGAAATGTATAGGGCGATATTAAGTACTATGTAAACTTTACATGACAAAAAGGGTGTTTAATGAATTCCCGTGTTGATATAAGGACGATTGATATCCCTTCTATAGAATGTTTTAAAATAATCTTGTCAAGTTTATTTGTGCTTCATGCAGTTATCTGTTCTTCTTGGCAATATGACACAGATTTCCAAAATATATATATATACTCATAAATCTCTTCTATCATAATAAAGGACACTGCATCCATAGATAAAGATTGATCAAAGGGCCTACTTTGTTACTTGAATTTGTTCGTACCAGTTATGTCATTTGTCATACTAACTACGCATGCGCTAAGATCCGTTAGAATTTTCCAAAATGAAGATTTTTAAATTGCTGAAAAATAAACACAATTTTTCTTTATTTTTTATGGTGCCGTTCTAACTTTTCAACGGGAAAAAATTACTGACACTGAACACTTAAACAAAATACAATTTGAAAAATTCTGTGCACGCGTTTTATGATTTCATATTTGAATCGAGATATGAAAAATGTAGTACAAAATCGCATCATCGAGGTTTTGGTCGATAATGCGATGACTTAATGATACGATGAAACGATGATGGGATGGTGCGATGAAGCTAAATAGATGTTAACCTTTATGCACCATTATCATTGCAAAGTCGCGCCATCGCATCATCGTCACAGGCTCACAGCGCTATTGCACCGTCGCGTTATTGCATTGCATTATCGCGACATCGACCGTTTATTTGATTCTCGATGGTCGATGATGAACTGATCGAAGTCATCCTATCCGAATTCTATAGAATTAAACCCTAACAAGTCTAATGCTTCAGAAAAATCACAGTCTTTAAAATGCACATGATTAGAAGTTTTACTAAAATACAATTCTTGAAGTTTTACTTTCCACTCGATCAAGTTTTGCTGATTACAGAGATTAAAGAAAATAAAGACAAGCATGCCAGATATGGTTGTGTAGATAAATTATCGTAGAAGACATGCATAGGTATAAACAGTTTACCCGTGCATTTCCTATGAAAGTGTAAATGAGCGCGATTCTAAGGCAGGGGGGGTACTCGGTGTAAATTGGAGTTTGATACCTTGTGTTATTATTATACTATGGATCAAAAATTTATTACAGAAACAAGTGCCTGTGAGACATGCCCTGTGTATATTTCACTCGTACAGTATCTAATTCTGAATTGTAGGGCATTGATAAGTATGTCGGTAGAGAAATATTCCAAGGTGCGAAAGCGCCATATAGCTCTTGATCTATGAATTCTTGTAAAGAATTCTTTGTTAATCACTTCCTGTACACTTTATGATTAATTATGATTAATAAATCAAATATGGTTAAAATGCACAGTAATAATGTAAAACGGTACAAGATCAGCGCCTTCCTGAATAATGTATTTACATTAAGTCTGGGAAATGAATGCAATGATTCGTCAGATTTAGTGTGAACAAGGTCCGCTTACGTTTTCCTATAACAATTAATCATCGCCTGGGAAAGAACAGTAGTGAAGGATCAATGGTTACTACTGCGGTGGACTTTTCCTTCAGCGATTCTGAAGTACATTTGTTTTTCTATAATCTTGGACCTCAATTCTTATTATAAATTAATCTTAAAGTTGGAGCATATAAACTTCATATTTTGATTAACTGGTTTTGCTGATTAAAAGTTATTGAAAGAATTTGCTGAGTATTTCGCCAAGGCTTAAGAAGTATTTTTAAAAAATCAATTCATATGTTTATGAAATATATATACCCTAAAATGTCAACATCTCCTCATTTACAAACCTTTGTCATTTGTTAAAATAAATTAAAACCACAAATCATAAATTTTACTTAATGATGAGAAAAATATGATTAAATCAAGAAAAGTTGTGGTCGCTTTCCACTGCGATAGATAGATTATTTCTAAACTTAACACAGTTACTAGGAGTCAAGAAATTTTAGAGTTTTCTGGTGATCGTTTCGCATAATAAAACGCGAGTTGACCCTCTTAAATAAATAATTGAAGAACGTATCCTATTAAAGGTTTCCTATTTCCTTTTCTTTTTTTACATTTGTGACCCCGTGAGATTTTGCTCGCCTAATTCACCCATCTTCTTTCATAATCATAAGATACGAAAATTGCCTTGTTCCCAGAGAGGGAATTATTCATTGGAGATACAGTACGTATGCACCCGTTGTAACTAGTTGAGGTTATTAAGAAGCGCTTTGTGACTGTCCTATGACCCCATCATTCCTTGCAATTAATTATAATGTTACAAAACTGTTTCAACAACAGTACGTAGGAATAGACCTGTTAAGTAAACAATGTGACGTAGATTGTTTAAATTGTCTGCTGCTGGCCGCCTCTGATGTTGATAAACCACAGAAATAGTCCAACTTCTTAGCAACATGTTTCAACATGTTTCAACGTAAGCCTTTTTTCTTTTGTTTGTTCAACGATATGTTTACAATATATTTGGAAATATGAAGAACAGTAGTGTTGAAGTGAAGTTTATTTGCAAACTTCACACAGATCACCATTCAAGGATGCAACAAACCACGTAGAAATAAAGACTCCAAACCTATAATGAAAAATCAAATCTTCAGTTAAGCTCCTTTAATTTTAGCGAAATTTATTGGGAACAGAGCAAACATAGACCTCTAAAACATCATAGGTGGGATCAGGTGCCATGTAGGAGTAAGCACCATACAATTTTTTCTACAACTCAAACTGAAAAGAGGACTTTCGGGATTGAACGAAAATTTTAAACAACTGACGATCTAACCTGCCACGGCTGACTGGAAGCCGCCGTTATAATCACAGGCCACTTCATTAATCTGGTAGTTCTGGCGGTCGTCAGTGTACCGGTCATGTTCATCCGGGCCTCCAACAAGACCACCATACAGCACGTGAGGATTCGGCCCCTTCCTGGTCAAATACGCCATTCCACAGGGGGCCGGCATCGTGGGACAAGAACTGCGGACCAATCAGTGATGTCAGAGTATATTGTAATTGATGTTATGTAACAGAGTAGAAAATCTTTATTTGATTACAGATTACCACTTTAAATTGTACTTTTAAAGCATTACATATCAAAGCTTTAAGTTACAATTAATTATTATTCAACAAAATGATATTAATTCAAATTTTAAAAGACGGCAAAGTCTACTGACGCGCCCCGGTGGTGAGGATGAACTGGAGGGTTTACACCGAATCCGACCACAAAGCTCCTCCCCGTGTCCCCCAGGACGTAATGTATTTGACCTTTGGCCCAGTCACGGTAAGCAGAGGAGTGGACACCATCATCAGCCAATAGTAGGGCAAGAAAGGCCATGTTAGCTGAAAATAGTGTTAATTCAAACAAACATTATATCAGAAAAAGGGACAAATCTTCAAAGGTGTTTAATATTTACAAATTGTAAAGACCATTAAGTCCAAAAAAGGTATAAATGCTATATAGTATATGACTAAAAACAAAGAAAGGGGTAAAGATTTGAGAAGGAAAAAATATATGAATAGTGAAGAAATTTTAGAAATATTCATATTGTGAATATGGTTAAATATCTTCTTACACGTGTGTCTGAGTGACCCCCAAGGATTCCTGAAGGCCAGTCCCTTGGGACTGTAGGGTACATTTCCACCTGGCATCCAGTTCCGGAAAGTGGACTCAACATCCTGTTTATATTTATCCATACCAGTTTCTTCATAAAGCAAAACCTATCAAAACAGTATTCAAAATCGAGGTATATCAGTTATTGGCAAGAGCACATGCAAGGGATAAGTGTCACTTTCATTTTATTTTCATTTGCAAGTAAACCCAAAAGAATCTTTTTATAGGTTAAATGAAGTTCAAACTATAATCAAGCAAAATTTTCTTTTTTATATCGCAAATTCTACCACTAAGAAGCTGCCTAACCTGAGCTCCGGCCGCCTTGTCCCCCCAGGACTGACCCCAGGAGGCCCCGCCCACGTAGTAGGTGTCCGCCTGGGTCAGGTACGTCGTGTCATTGGTGGCCTTGTAGAGCCACGCCCCCGCCCACGATAACTCATCATTATAGTTACCCGACCTAAACAAAGCAAAGAATTTTATAAATAGATCACAATGCACGCTAGAAATAAATCTGGTTGGTTAACTGTAACCATATTTTTCTGAAAAGAAAGAAAACAAAAAAGTAAAAAAAATAGATGTACTTTTCATTGAGTATGAACTGAACTACTTTTGACATTTATTAAAAGTATGAAACACTTTTGAAAAAAAAGACCTCTAAAACACACCCATAAAATGCTGCAACCTCCGGAATACTTTCAGAGTATTTCCCCTTGTAGGTTACTGCGAAGTTGTTAATTTGTTTGGCATGCTGGAGAAGTTTGTCAGCAAACACAGAATCTAACACGAAGAGTGATAGTTGATTTAAACAATAGTTGAAGCGTAAACGATATCTTATATATCAAATTGCTTTGCAATAATTCGAATAAAATGGTAGGAAAAGGAAAGAAAATCGTAAATACATTAAATTGAGAAGTAAGGCGTGATTTTAAAATGTGCCATTGGCTATGGATTACTAATGTTTTCAATGAATATGTCAGTATTTGTTCCAAAAAAGTATGCAAATCAGTAAAATATTTTTTTTCTCTTCAAAAGTCAGACATTCTGAATCCATTGCGCTGCATTTTACCATAAACGGCATCCATCGACTTTGAACAGTCATACTTTTTCCATAAAATTTACAACATATCAAATAAAAAAAAGAGAAACCTTTGTCTTTAAAAGCCAAGTATCCCGCGGCCATTGCAGCAGCGTATTCGCCAGCAACATCACTTCCGGGATGATTTTCATCGACTTTGAACACAGTCGGTCTAGTTGTTATACTCTCTGGTCTATCCCAAATAGAGTGAGACTTCCCATCACCTACCTACAAATGTTGTTAACTTCATTTAGATATTTTAATTTGTTATAAAAAAATAATGTGATATGGCCAAAGACCATCAGAATTTCCTTCGGAAGACGCCATAGACTGTAATCAATTTGAACAGATTTAACCAGTGACTCAGAATATCCCAGAAGTTTTGTAAACATAACCTTTCCATTCTTTTATGAATCACATTTCATTCAATCAGATCTTAATTATCAGATAATATACCTGTATATATAACTCATTTGTTCCGGTGTGACATTTCAAAAACCACTCAAGCGGCCACCTGATGCATTCGTACATTTTGTCCAGTTGGCCGCTGTGTTGGTATGCGTCTTTATACCTCAGAAGACCCCAGGTAAGCATTGTTGTTGTTGATGCCATCGGAAACCCAAATTTAATGTTGTCACCAGCTGAAATCAACAAAAAGTCCAAATGATTATTCTAAGGATAAAAAAAAGCAAATATAGTGATGAAGGTAAGCACACAATCAAATGTCTTTTATCAGAAACATGACATTGTGAAATCCCTATCAGCAAACCTCATAATATGCATTAACAAAATATTAATTGCCCAAATTCACCATCTTGATGAATGAAATCTCCCAAATCCAGAATCCTTTTTGTGTTAATTAGTACTCACCGTCATACCAGCCTCCTGTGAGATCCTCCCCGTTGTCCCCTTGGTCCAGTAGAGATGAATCTCCTCGCCACGTGATCCTGTTGTCGTCTGGTAGTTTCCCTGACCTCTGAGCCTCGTAAAACATGATGGATTTCATCAACACCTCATTGTAATTGTACTTTGTTCCATCGTCTACAGAAAACCAGTTGATATTTAAATGAAGAAATATAAAAGCCATATCTTAGCATCATTCATTGGCAGACAGTTTTCAGTGGATTGTTTTCAGAATTATAAGTCGTGTCTAGATCGTATACAGTGTTTATGTTTTTTTTAATTATCTATATTGAAATATGATTAATATAAACAATAACCAATTGATATAGTCGGTGCGGCCATCCCGTCATGAGCCATGTTCAGGAGCTCCGCTGTAGCAGTAGGGGGACCACTTCCTGAGTACTGCCCCTGGATCGTGATGTCCAGGGTCTGTCTGGCTTGTAGGATACCAGTGTTAGGTTTGTTCACGAGGTAGAAAACTGTATTGTTGTCTGAGTGTTTCAATATGTCACCCATCCATTCCTGACATAACAGAAAAGATCAAACTGCAAAGAAACTGGTACATAAAACATGTTCTGGCTATTAAAGATTTTATTTATATTTGAGATTTAGTTGCTTATTATTAATTTAGTATCATTTTTATAAAAGAGTAAATTATTTTCGAAAGGTTTGGTATAGCGTATCCTTTTTAAGAATTTTTCAGATTTGGTCTTTCATATATTAAAGTGTATATATGCAATTTAAGTGTAACAGGTGCTGATTGTTGATACATTAATTAAAAAAAAATTAGCAGTAAAAATAATATAATCTACCAGTCTTACTGCATCGCAATACTTTTTTGCGACTACTCATAGTGCTTATAAATGCAATATATTACTAATTACTCTCTTTAACGTTATCTGATAATATTTGACCTATTTATATAAACGTATTCAGATATTCAAAAAACCAATGGAGTTAAATAAATAACGATTCAGATCTAAAAAAAAAAAATAGATTAAATTATTAGGAGAATATAGATTTAATATAAATTATTTTATATTAATAAAAATAAGAACTTATACGTACTGAAAATCCTGTTACTGGTTCAGAGAAAGTGACAATACACTCCCATCCAGCAATATCTTCGCCATGTGTGTGGAAAATTAGGTGACCTTCAAATCGTCCATTTCCCAGGTCTTTGACCTTTGACATCGCAGTTTGAAGGGCATGACCTCTTGTCAATATCACCAGTAAGCAGACGGCCAATGCAATCGTTTTTATCATGGCTCTTTAATATGTATTATAAAATGCGATCAGTAAATGAAATACTGTAAATATTTTTCTAGTCATCGAAACTCTTCTCTGGAAAACATTTATTATGTTCGATAATGTGTGACCTATTAAATAAATATTATAAAATATCTAAATGATTCTCTATTATTTCGATGAAAAACGTTTCAAAGAATTATATGGACAAAACAAAAATACCGGGTATGGAGAAAAACGAAGAGTATTCAAGATCAAAAGTTCATAAAACAATACAAAATAGAAGCAGAGCAATTTGACTCAATGATAAATTGTATCTATCATTGACTAGGTCATTGTATCGACCATATAACTTAAGAAATGATGACTTTAAACGAGACTGTTGTTATTCTTTTTTCATGAACTTAATTGTTGGTCAATAATTAACCTCCTTTTAGAAATTGTTCATACGTAGAGCATGCTTTTGCGTATCGAGATATATTAATTCCGTATGCAGGTGCTGAAGGTATATTGCTGCACAAGTAAGGGAAATTGACGATATAAAAGTTGAAGTTATCACGTTTATCTTAGAGTTTGGTTGTTAGATTACCGCTAACGTCTTTTTCAGGTAAAATATCCAAGTATGAAACAGATGAGTCAGACCAATGTGGTATCTTTTATCTCAAGCTCTCCTGGATATACTTAGTCCATAAAACAATACAAAACAGGCGCAGAGCAAATATAGACCTCTAAAACATTAGAGGTGAAATCAGGTGCCATGTCCTTGATATGATTGGGAAATAAGGGAGAAATCCGTGGACAATTCAGTGTGTAAATAATTAAAGCCTTACACTTAGTATGAAAAATGAAGTAAGATTAATTTTATTCACTGAAAAGGTCATTGTATCAACCACAGAACATACAAAATGGTGACTTCTAACGATACTGTTTTTGTTTTAAATTATTTTTAAACTTTCTTATTTTTCCATGTGTAAATACAAATTCTAAAGAAAAAAATTTTAAAGTTTACTTTACAAAGAAACATGCTATGATAATATATTTTCTTTTTAAAATTTTATAAAACAAGCAAATTCATTAAACAGTAAATAATACAGTATATTCATAATTATAAACATTGTATCTATATAAGAAAACATGTAGATCAAGAGATTTTTCTACAACTTAGATCTTTCGCCTCAGATAGAAAATCAGTACAACTGATTCAGATTACAAAAATGATAAATTATTTAAAATAACAAAAAATGTCTACAGACAAGTATGTAATTTTGTAATTTAGGAAGGACCGATTACCTTGCAACTATCTACCAAGCAATTGTAGACTCCCTGGTGTACAATGTTAAGGCACAGGATTAATCAAAAGAGAACACATAAAACTTTCATATCGATAAACTAGAGAGGAGCACACAATGTCTCTGATTTAAGGTTAATATACATGTACAGAATTCTTATGACATTTATCTCGTTCAAACGTGTGTCGGTGCCAACGCCTTCTTCCAAAGTTATAAGTATTTCTGCTGAATGTAAATTTTTTAACTGAATAAACTATAGCCCTTACGAAAAACCTAACCCTAACCCTGAGTTTTTTGTAGAGTAAATTAATATGGCTTAAAAAAGGTTTAAAAACTGCCTTTGTGAAACAGTTGCATGTATATGTATTTAAAAACCACGAATCCAAGTCACTTTTTCCCACCTCTAGAATTTCCAGGGATTTTTGTATCATACACTCTCTACAGATTTGAGTTGTTAATATATTTTTGGATCGAAAATGGTTCCTTGTTTTCATTAGATAAAAAAACTAACTAAATAGACGATGTTATTTAAATCGATATATCTTGACCGAAATCATCACATCTGTGCATGAACAGTCATCTTTGACAACTGTATAATATTGCGGTACACAGCTCTGTCCGGCAAAGCCTAGGAACCGTAGCTGCCTCCAAGGTAAATTATCATCCCGTTTTCTTTGGTATTGCCAGTGTGACAGTTAACGGCGGATCTGAAAGATTAATAGAGAATGCTTTCGTTACCAATTTTACCACTGTTTTAAGAGGTTCGTGTTTGCTCTTCTCCTGAGTTTAATTGTTTCTTTGAGATTTTGAATGCAATATATTAAGATAACGAACAGTATTCGAGCTCAAAAGACCATTAAATAATAAAAATATGAGAAGAGCCAACAAGGACCCCAAAACATCAGAGGTGTAATCACATGCCATGGAGGAGTGAGCATCCCCTGCCGACCAGTCACACCCGCCGCGTTGTCCTTGTCATGGTAAATAATGGGAAAGGGAAAATCGGTAATCAATTCAGTGTATAAATAATGGACTAACAATTTGTATGGAAAAACGTCAGTCAACATTGCATTTGCTGACAGTGTCGTTGCATCGATCATAGAACGTACGAAATGATTACTGTAAGCGAGACTGTTAATATTCGTGTTTCATAAACTTGTTTTACATTGATTTACATAGTTTTGGAAATTTCATAAACTTGTTTTACATTGATTTACATCGTTTTAGAAATTTTACATATGTACAGCATGCTCTTGCGCATTGAATTAACTGAGAGATATAAACTTCGTATGCAGGTAATGAATATGTATTGCTGTATTAAGGGAAGTTGAAGATTGAAAAGTTAAAGTCATTACGTTTATCATTGATATATATAAATTTGGATATAACAAACAAAAGAAGGATAATTTATGGAAATAACGATTTATTCAATATTCAATCTCAAAATCCATAAAACAATACGAAATAGGAGCAAAGTAAACACGGACCTCCAAAACATCAGAGGTGGGATCAGATACCATGGAGGAGTGAGCATCCCCTGCTGACCGGTCTCACCCGCCGTGTGCTCCTTGTTATGATCAGGAAATAGCAGGAAAATCGTCGTCAATTCAGTGTATAAATAATGGACTAACAATTATATGAAAAACGTCAGTCAGCATTTGACTCAATGATAAATTGTATATCCTGACAAGGTCATTGTATCGACCATAGAACTTAGAATCTTTAGAAATTGCTCATACGTAGAACATGCTTTTGCATATCGAATCAACTGAGATATATATACTCCGTATGCAGATGATGAAGGTACATGTATATTGCTGCATAAGTAAGGGAAACTGACGATAGAAAAGTTAAAGTCATCACGTTTATCATATAGCTCGGTTGTTAGATTACCATTAACGTCTTTTTCAAGTAAAATATCCAAGTATGAAACAGATGTGTCAGACTCTGTGGTATCTTTTATCTCAAGTTCACTAGTATATATCGTTTCGACGTAGGAATGGAAATTATCATTGTTAATTGACAATACGTCGTCGATATATCTAAATGTCGAGTTGAAGGCCATAGCAAATGATTTCTTCTTTTCACGCATAAGACTTTGCACAAATTCTGCTTCATATGAATATCAAAATAGGTCTGCTAATAACGGAGCGCAATTGGTACCCATTGGATTCCAATAGATTGATGGAATTCCTGGTCTCCAAAAACCATATAAATATTGTCAATCAGAAATTCAAGCATCTCTTTGATGTTAACTTCAAAGTACTTGTATGTGCAATCAGAATGTGTTTTAAAATAATTTTGCAAATGACCAATGACCAGATAAGTAAATTTACGAGTTCCATTTTTATTGAATAAGCAGCTGTCAATGATATCAAAAAGCCTGGACTTTAATTTATTGTGGGGAATGGTTGTTTATAAAGTTGAAAAGTAGTAAAATTTTAAGCTATGATTTTGGTAAAATTTTGTGATTTCAAATTGTCCAAAAGTTCTTTGGAATTTTTAAGTATCCACATCTGATTCACAACACTTCTTGAATATATTGTTGCACAGTACTCTTGAAGTTTTTCCTTCACTACTGTCAATATCTTAGTGAGGAGTAATGAAAGAGGCTTGGTTGAACATTTACTGGAAGCCGCAATGTGTCTTTGTTTGTAAGGATTTTAATGAAGTTTTGAAAACCAATATATATAGGGTAGTTCAAATTCATTTTGGCTCTGTGGAATATTAAAAATATTTAAAACTGACAAATATGATTTTGAAGAATTTCTTCCTTAGAGAGGAGAGTATGAGTATAAGTAGGATTACCACTTGTAGAATAAAATCGAAGTTCTTATAAAATACAATTTATATGATGAGCCTTACAAACGAAGACAATGTTGTTACCAGCTTTTTCGGCAGGGACCAGTACGTACTAATCATGTAATCCATCTAATTCTTTTTTTCACTTTGAACACAGAAGGATAGATGGTTTTCATATTGCCCCTCAATCAAGCCCCTTCTGCATAAAGAATATCATGTTTCCATCTTTGTCGATGTCCCAGGCATACCCAATTGCAAACTAAACAATGATTGCTTATATTTCCATTTCACTCTGATATAAGATTGCAAATTTGAATTTAAAAAATGTTGTAAACTATATTTCAATTGCACGAAGCTTCTCATGTCGATTTCAATGCTGAGTAGTTCCCGCCCCCTGAAGTAAGACCCAAAGACATACGCAAGAGATCTACATGAATTGTAGGCCTTCTTAACTTCTGACATTTCGCTTGGCGAAATTAACATTCTGGTAAGGTTTTTAAGGAATCAACTCATCTAGCTTTCAAAGAGTTATCACAGAGAAAACAAATAGAAAGGGAAATGTATAAAGATAATAACAACATTGTGGAGATCCTGAAATTCTGAGTATTCCTCGCCCTGCACAACAATATATGTTTACTTCAGGAATCATGCCTAGTTTTATTCTGTCAAAATTGCTTGTGTTGCATGTAATATAACCTTTTGCTATACCTTGTCCCAAATACAGAATACGATATTTGATCGTCAGACATTTATAAACATAAATTCATCAATACACATTCTCAAGAAGAACCCAATAATCCGCGAAGGTACAGAGATTCCAAACCTAAAATAAACCATTTATTAACTGTTAATGATCAGTCTCGACTTGTTATTCAATTCTCAAATTGTTAATTCACCCTCGAAAAAGTTTTGCAGTGACAAACAAATGATTTATCCATGGAATGATTAATCCCAATGGAAGAACGACTTATCTAACCTGCCACAGCTGACTGGAAGCCGGCATTATAATCACAGGCCACCTCGTTGCTCTGGAAGTTCTGACGACTGTCAGTGTAAGCGTCATTCACATCCGGGCCACCGACCAGTGCGCCATAAAGCACGTGGGGATTTGGCGCCTTTTTAGTCTGATCAGCCCATCCACATGGAGCTGGGATCGATGGACAAGAGCTGTTAGAAGTTATTAGAAGTTAATGCCTACTAGACTAGTAGAGGTAGAGAAAGCCAAAATTTGATATGTGCACACTGTTTACTGTCTCAAAATATCTTCAACTAAGAAAAAGATATAGTTCGAACCAAAAATGTGACAACTACCAATCAGTATTAGATATATTTAAAAGTTTATACTACAATCATGTCAAAACATTCAAAGAAAGAAATTGATATCTAGAATTTTTCGTGACCAAAGACTCATCAATAATATAGATTTGATACATACGCCCCACGATGATGAGGTTGAACAGGAGGGTTAACGCCGAAGCCACAAACGAAGCTTCTCCCCGCATCACCTAGAGCATAATGGATCTGGCTCTTGGCCCAGTTACGATAGCTGGAGGTATGGAGGCCGTCATCAGCCGCCACAAGGGCAACAAAAGCCATGTTTGCTACAAGGCAGATATATAACATACAATGTCAGAGATGCTGCATTCTCGTGTGTCATAGGTATATTAGTGTAAAGCTTATAAAAATATTCTTTAAACATGGAACTCCAAATATTTTAGCACAGAATCATTACATATTTTATAATCATACAACAATATTTATATGTGTGTATTTTAGAAATTATTAAATAACTGATTAAATAAATTTGAAAGTACAAGTTTTGATCTGATAGTTAGGTTCTCACACGCGTATCTAAGTGACCCCCACTGGTTCCTGAAGGCAAGACCCTTAGGACTGTATGGTATACTTCCTCCGGGCATCCAGTCGTTATAGGTCAACTCTATCTCCTGTTTATACTTGTCTTTCCCAGTTTCTTCATACAACAAAACCTGAATAACAAAAATATCTATGCATTCTAACACGTGTAAAAATAACTTTGAATTCTGACAATCATTCACAAAAATAATGAGTTGTTCGATTTATTTAAACTATTTTTTTTTTCATTTTTATTTATAAGACTTTAAAAAAGTTTTGTTTGATAGTAAAAATATAGAGATATTTCAAATACATTCGACAACTCCGACACTATGTAATTGAATGACCTGACATCCGGCCGTTTTGTCGTCCCAGGACTGTCCCCACGAGGCCCCGGACACGTAGTACTTCTCCGCCTGAGCCAAGTACTGACTGTCATTAGTGGCCTTATAAAGCCACACACCCGCCCAGGACAGTTCATCGTTATAGTCATTTGATCTAGAATTGAATTTTAAAATAAATCTTGAGTGAAATACATGTATTTTAAGACAACGAACAGTATTCAAGCTGAAAAGTCCATTAAACTATACAAATAAGGAGGAGATCAAACTTGGACCTCTAAGACATCAGATATTGGGCCAGGTGCCATGGATGAGAATCCCCTGTTTGCATTTTTGTTGATTTTATGTAAGACCTTTAGTCTTTAATTTCATATTTCAAATACCTATATTTCCCTTTGAATATAGCTTAGCATAACCTACCATGAATATTGTTTATTGAGTTTAGAATGTTCCATGTTTTTAAAATGAGAAAGAGGAAGTTTGAAATACCAACCTGTAGAACTCGGCTGCGGCCATGACACTGTCAGAGTATTTTCCCTTGTAAGTAACAGCAAACTCATTGATCTGTTTGGCATGTTGCAACAGTTTAGCAGCAAATGTCGGATCTATAGAAAAAATACATATTTTGTGATTTTGGATGATGATTCTTGACTATATCTGACATATAATCATTGTTCTGTATGAAACCAACATTGACTATTACAGATTTAATTGATAATTAATATATTATTCTTTTTGTAATAAAAAATGAAGGCAAATAGAAGCTTGATCTTTTCAACTAGTGCATTGTTTGAAATATAAAATTTGTAAAATATTGTATTAAGCTTCAGTGATAAAAATACGTCCTATTATTGACTAATAAAGTAGTAAATAAAATGCTTTAATTTAACTCGATTGAATTTAATTCGGTATTTACAGAAATACATTGTTCGTAATATACACAAGAATGTAACTAGTCACATTAGTCCTTGAACGCCGGGAGTGATTTGTTGATAAAATTTTGTTTTAACAGTAATGATCTCAAACTCTCTGATATTTTTCACAAACTCTGTGAAATTTGGAATAAATAATCAACCTTTATCTTTAAAAGCCAAGTATCCAGCCGCCATTGCAGCAGCATATTCTCCAGCAACGTCACTTCCAGGTTTATTTTCATCCACTTTGAACACAGGTTGTCTAGTTGTAATACTTTCTGGTCTGTCCCATACAGAGTGAGATTTTCCTTCTCCGACCTGTTAAGGCGAAATTTCAAAAAGAGATTGGAATGCTCAAAGTCAGCACTGATTAGGGTTCTTAGAATAATTCAGAAAATTATAAGTACATGTACCTACAAGGAATCTCAAAAGTAACATTATTCAATGAAATTAATTGCATCTTTTAAAGCAAATCCTTTGCACATACTTTATTTTTCATCTTTAAATATTTAAAATACCCCCAGTAGTAGATGAATGAGATTCATAGAAATTTTTGGTCAAAACATCTCAGGACTAAAATTTTGGCAAACTCTTATAATCTTTTATCTAATTGCCAATAGTACATTTATGACCAACATTTTTTTTCTTCATTTTTCAGAAGCATTGTAGGTGAATATGTAAGTCAGCTATTGTAACCGGTGAATACCTGTACGTATAACTCGTTAGTTCCGGTGTGACATTTCAGGAGCCACTCTAGCGGCCACCTGATGCATTCGTACATTTTGTCCAGTTGCCCGCTGTGTTGGTACGCGTCTTTATACCTCAGAAGACCCCAGGTCAACATTGTTGTTGTTGCTGCCATCGGGAAGCCAAATTTTATGTTGTCTCCAGCTGGAAAAGACGTTGCACAGGTAACATGACATACCGTTTACAATTTTGCGCATTGTTTATCTTCTAACTGATTTATATTACATTTTTTCTTGATTAATATGCATGTAAACTAAAAAAAACCGAGACATTAAACATTTTTTATTGACTTGTGTCATTCATCCGTTTTAAGATATATTTTATGAATAATATCCCTTATCAGAACTAACTTCATTTCTCGAGCATCGCTACATCACAGAACCAGAAGAATGAAAACTCAATGACTTTAAAAAGGTTAAATATCTGCATTGTTACTTGGCTAATTATCACTGACAGTTTTTGGCTTCTTCCTCATCAAACCCCATAAATATAGTATTTAATCGACTCGTAATTTTTTTTCATTTGCAAGATTATTTTGTTTAAAAACATTCTGATTGTACACAAAAGTAATTAGAAGTTGATTCCAAAAAGATGCTTGACCTGGTCTTCCAATAACCGATTGGAATTCTTACTGGTACCAGTTGCGACCCTATTATGAACACCTATTTTGTTTTCATATGAAGCAAAATTTCCTCAAAAAATTTTATATGAAAAGAGGAAAACACTCGCTGTGGCCTTCAACTCGACATTTAAATATATCAACGACGTATTGTCAATTCAAAATAGTTATTTCTATGCTTATTAGTCGACATAATATATATCCCGGTCAACTTGTAATAAAGAATGCCACAGAATCTGACACATTTATTTCACATGTAGATTTTTTGCTTGAAAAACGTTGATGGTAATCTAACAACCAAATTTAATAAAAAACGAGATGACTGTAACTTTTCAATCTTCAATCACCCTTACTTATGCATCAGTATACCTTCATCATTTGCGTTTTTATCTCACTTGATTCGATACGCAAGACCAATATCAACGCGTGAACAATTCTTAGAACGAGGTAAACTATTCACAAACAAGTTGATGATACAAGAATATCAGCAGTCTTGTTTAAAGTCATAATCTCATAAGTTCTTATGAGGATACAATGACCTTGTAATTAAATACACTTTATCATTGAGTCACCGACGCTTTTTAAAATTAATTGTTAGACTATTTTATACACTTAATTTTCGACGGATTTTCCCGTATTTTCCCGATCCTGTCAAGGGGCACATGGTTAATGTGACCGGTCGACAGGGTAATATGCTCATTCCTAGATGGCACCTGATCTCTCTTAAATGTTTTTGAGGATCGTTTTTGCTCTGCTTCTATTTTGTATTATTTTATGGACTTTTGAGCTCGAATATTGTTCGTTATTTAAACATATTTCATTAAGGCGGTATCAAACATTTGTTTTATACTCACCGTCATACCAGCCACCTGTGAGATCCTCCCCGTTGTCCCCTTGGTCCAGTAGAGATGAATCCCCTCGCCACGTGATCCTGTTGTCGTCTGGTAGTTTCCCTGACCTCTGAGCCTCGTAAAACATGATGGACTTCATCAAAACCTCATTGTAATTGTACTTTGTTCTATCATCTACAAGAACAGTCATTTTTTGACATAAGCCATTCGCAATTTCAGAATTTAGTTCATAGAAAAAGACGACTGTTAAGGGAGTTTGATTAATGACTCAGCTCATACAATATGAATTTTTATTTACCGTAGTATCTGCAGAAATTTAACGTTTACAACTAAAGACATAATTTTACAGCAGGTTTCCTTACCCACGGAAACGGTTGGGGGCTTGAGTCCGTCGTGTGCGAGATTGACGAGCTCAGCTGTAGCGGTGGGGGCTTTACTTCCAGTGTAGCTGCCCTGGACGGTGATGTCCAGGGTTTGTCCGTCTCTCTGTATGCCTGTGTGTGGTTTATTTACCAGGACATACACAGTGTTGTCTGTAGAGTGCTTAATGATGTCTCCCATCCACTCCTTTATTGATTGTAATCAAATCATAACTCTATTTATTTAAATAACATCCTTTGTCCAGAAACATAAAAACGTAAGGGGATTATTAATGAAATTAATTCCAATTATACACTTTTTGAAGGAGTTAAACGATATTTGGAATGATAGCATACTGATATTCCAGTAACTGGTTCAGAGAAGGTGATTATACATTCCCATCCCCCGATGTCTTCACCGTGAATGGGGAACGTAAAGTGACCTTCAAATCTCCCATTTCCCCAGTCATTGACCCGTGACATGTCTGTATGTAGAGCGTGACTACATGTCCATATCAAGACAAGGAGGTAGAGAGTCCCACCAATCATCGTTGTCCCAGTTCTATGCAAAAATGACATAATAATGCATAAGTACATTGCCTTAAGTGTCATGATGTTTGAATACTGAGCATTGCAGTGTTATTATTTAAATATGTACACGATTTTATCATTTTCGATTTAGAATGAAATAGGGTTTCGAAATTTGTTTTGCAAAAATAGTCAAGGAACAGTTTTAAAAACGCTAAATAAAATGACGAGTGATATACTCCGGTACTTACATTAGAGGTCTATAGCGGGCGTCTTATCAATTAAAGCAGTGATCCAGTTCAAGTTTACAAGCTTGTCCCAGATATTAACAGGAACAATCAGGAACCATTATATAAACTAGGGACATGCCAGCGCATTTCTAGAATAGTTATATTTCTTTATAATGAAAATAAAATTAACATAAAAATCAAAAAAAAAAAAAATGCAGACGAAAATTATAATGAAACACCTTTTATATAATATATTTTATAATAATAGACGATATAGCTGATTAACTAATTAACATCCACATATTTTTATACCAATATATCTCAAAATCTTTCTTGGTTCATGCTGTTAAAAAGAATTTGGTTTCTTTCGTTCTCAAAAAAAATCTTCTTGATTTGAAATAATTTATGCAATTTTGCAAGAACAATCTCTAAGCATGAAACAAATTCTCAAAAGTCATTTACAAACAAGTTGATGAACTAAGATTATCAACAGTCTAGTTTAAAGTCATCATTTCGTAAATTCTATGGTCGATAGAATGTCTTTCTCAGCAAATACAATTCATCATTGGGTGAAATGTTGTCAGACGTTTTTCATACCAATTGTTAAGCTATTATTTCAAACAAAATTGTATTCAAAATTTTCCAGTTATTTCCCGATCATGACAATGCACGAAAAGGGTATGACATCGGAGGGAGATGCTAACGTTATGACATCTAATCCCAACTTTGATGTTTTGGAATTCTGTGTTTACTCTGCTCCTGATTTGAATTGTTTGAATGGACTTGAGGACTTGAACATTGTTCGTTATAGGATTTTATCTCCTTATATGAAATGGAGATAACGAAAAGTATTCAAGCTAAAAAATATATAATATAAAGCTGTGCATATTGGGACTATTTAGTTAATTTTCAACATAAGGGTACCTGCCTTATATCCACAGGAAAATATTCAAAGACAATAGACTATTTGATCGTGAGCAGAAATCACTGTTGTTTACTTAGATAGGAAAACAATTTTTTAAAAAATGAATTTATTTACTTATTCTTGGTCTAATATAATGTGATTGATAAGATTATTTTAACCATTTTTACTATCTTACTTTTAAGGGAAATTTCCCTCTAACGGCATAAAACTACCATATGAATAGAACTCTTTAGTGTGCAGTGTGTAGAACTAATAAAAATTTAACATTCCTTGTTTATAGAATTGTTTTGATTATAGATTATCGTTCCTTTCTATTTTTAAATCTTATAGTCTTCAAACTTTTATTTTCCGAATTTCTACTCAAATCTATAACAATTAAAGGTATAAAACGAGTATAAAAATAGAATTACGTGGGTTTTTCAAAAAAGAAACTACTACCTTCATTTTAAAACAACAAGTTTCGCAGGCTTGTTGCGAGTGAAATATTTACATTATGATCTTTTTAAAACGAGTATAAAAATAGAATTACGTGGGTTTTTTTTTTTAATTTCTCCTTTCATTTTAAAACAAGTTTCACAGACTTGTTTCGAGTGAAATATTTAGATTATGATCTTTTTTTCATGGAATGAGACATTTTTAATGCAGGTATTACATTAAACGTGATAAAAGATTAATTAATAAGAAAAAACTATCAACAAATGGCTTAGATATTTAAGTTATTTCTACTGTCGATTCATCAATTCCAAAAATAGTCAGATTATTTTGATTATTTATTATTGTTAGGAAACAGTTTCCTTTAATGTTATTTTCTGAAATAAATGTGTAAAGAAGCAGAAATAACAATCAGATAGAAAGAGATCTTATACGGAAGGGAAAAGGAATATGAACAAAAGGTATTTAACACAATTTTATCAAACACCAAACATTGTAATTATTTTTAATTTTTTCACTACAATTTCATTAATTTTTTTTATATGAGCGGTCGAAGAGACAGATAATAATATTATGAACATCACTTTTGTTGATTATTGGATTGTTAGGGGAGTCAGCTCAACACTAAGCTATAGAATGGACAACACAAACAAAAGGTTTACGTCACAATCATGTTTTAATGTATTCTTTAGATCGTAATATATTCTTAAACAGCTTCCAATAATGTCGGTTTAGGCTATTAATAAAATATCATAATTTATTTATTATGCGAGCATTTCTTTCGTTTTAGCTAAAATACCCAGAGAGATAGAATGAAGGGTTTTAAGTGTGGTTCGTCTTTTATTATTGCGCTGACCTTATTTCACGTGATAGGTAAGTATTTGTTATTCTCAAGTAGAAACTTTTAAATTATACTGTAACAAGAAAAATGCGTTCATACTCTAGTATCACTTGATTCGTTATTGATTTTGTCTGTTTGTAAAAGGTCGAGATCGATATAGGAAAATTTGTTTCATTACAAAATATGTTGAAAGGGATCAAAACACGGATCCCTGGTACATGTAGTTCGAGAGATGGGGCTAGGTACATAGGAGGAACAAGCATCCACTGTTGTCCTGTCACATCCGCCATGATCCCTGTGTATCATCATTCCATAACAATGACATCACCTTTAGTATGAGACAAGTCAGCCAAAATAAGACAAGATGGTAGATTAAATGTGCAAACGAATTCGTAAGGTCGTTAAAATGATAATTAGGGCATTGAGTTGACCATAAAAGTTGTAAACCCTGGGCTCTAAACGAGATTCCTGGAATCCCTGTTACATCAATTTATCAATGAGTTGTATAGAATACAATATATTAAATATAAAATATAGAAATAATATTCTGTACAAAATGTTAAATACCAATTTACTCTCATTCTGTATTAATACTATTGTTTATCAGGGATTTTAATTGATATTTACAGGCGTGGAAAAACAGCTGGACACCTACATGTACTACATAACAACATAAATCTACATATTTTGATAACTAAGAAAGTTTTTTTTTTTTTTTAAATAATCGAAGGTTTTAGTTGAGATTTGAATTCATCTCTCGACTGCAACATTTTTTTTTTCACTCAAAATATGAAAATTTTTCCAACTCAAAAATTAACATTAGTATTCAGCTATTAGATATTAATAAATGGTCTATTGATTGTCATTTAAATCTATTCCAACAATCTATTGGATTTCCCATGGGTACCAATTGCACTCCGTTATTAGTGGACCTATTTTTGTATTTACATGAAGCAGAATTTGTGCAAAATCTTATGCATGAAAAAAAACAACAACACTTTGTTGTGGCGTTCAACTCGACATTTAGATATATCGACGATACTGTTAATTAATAATGGTAATTTCCATTTCTACGTCGATACGATATATTCTAGTGAGCTTGAGATAAAAGATACCACAGAGTCTGACACATCTGTTTCATACTCGGATATTTAACTTGGAAAAGACGTTAATGGTAATCTAACAACCAAGCTATATGATAAACGTGATGACTTTAACTTTTCTATCGTCAGCTTCCCTTACTTATGCAGCAATGTACCTTCATCACCTGCATACGGAGTGTATTTATCTCAGTTGCTTCGATATGCAAGGGCTTGCTCTGCGTATGAACAATTTCTAAAACGAGGTAAATTATTGACAAGCAAGTTGATGAAACAAGAATATCATCAGTCTCGTTTAAAGTCATCATTTCGTAAGTGCTATGGTCGATACAATGACCTTGTCAGCAAATACAATTTATCATTGAGCCAGATGCTGACGGACGTTTTTCATACCAAGTGTTAGTCCATTATTTATACATTGAATTGACGACGGATTTTTCCGTTATTTCCTTATCATGACAAGGAGCACACGGTGTGTGTGACCGGTCAGCAGGGGATGCTCACTCCTCCATGGCACCTGATCCCACCTCTGATGTATCGGAGGTCCGCGTTTGCTCTGCTCCTGTTTTGTATTGTTTTATGAACTTCGATATTGAATACTGTTCGTTATCTCCATATCTTTATCTAAACATATCATCTGTTGTGTAAGTTACTCTGATTTTACACAAATGTACTGTAAAATTGACAAAAAATTGGCATAAATAATTTAACTCAAATGGATATTGGCTAATCTGAATTTTTTAAACTAAGAAGTATATAGTACGTTTCTAGCTATTGCTTGTTGGACCGTGGCCTCACTATTTACAACACATATAGGTACTTTTAATTTCAACACTGTTACAAATGTATTAACAAATTCAATTATTTCCTTTTCATGTATCGACACGATATATCCCAAATGAACTTGATATGAAAGACACCACTCCTCCAGGCACCGATTCTACCTCTGGAATTTTTAGGGGCTGAGTTTTTATGCCCTATTCACATATCTAATTTCTTTAAATTCTAAAAAAAAAAAAAAACACACACACACACACACACGTAAACTTCTTAAAATAAAATAAAAATCGACACCTTGTCATAAGTTCTTATATCTAGCATGACAAATTAAATATATTTCTGATGACATTTGAATGTATGTATTTATTTTAGATGCATTTCCGCCATCAAAATCACAATCCGCCAAAACATGTCCGTATAATGAAACTGAGTGGATGAAGAGATCGACAAAATTCTTTTGTCAGGGGAAGGAAGTTTATCACTGTTTTCTTGCTGAGGACGAAGTTTCCGTTAAAGAAAAATGTGTAGAAAGAACAATGATGCTTAAAGGTACCTAATGCCAACATAAAAATCCCAGAATAAATTTTGCTTTCGCAAGACATCTGAATTTTCTTTAGGAACTTTTTAATAAAACTTTTTCATTTGTAGGTTTCTGCCCAATATTCACAGACTTAGGTTACTTACACTGGAGTCCATGCAATAGAACAGGGTGTCCCAACTCAACATACACCAGTGATAAAGTTTACAAATTTACAAACACTAAGTAATTTAACGATGTTGTAGAAAATTAAAAGAAGTGTATACATTTTTTCGTCCCTCACATTCGTTCAAATCTAAAATATTATATTGGATTTATCTGTCCGTCCTTCTGTCAGTGATTTGTAACACGAGTTTGTATTTTTTAAAATAATTCTTAAAGCTGCTTAATCCGGCACATATTATCTTACACAATAAAAGTACGTCATTTCATAGAAAATATATATAAATAAATAATAAGATTGATTTAATAGTTTATTACAACAATCCTTACAAGGAAAACATAGATCAAAAACCTTATTGACAAACAGAATTTCCTGACGGGAGGTTAAGATCTGTTGTGAAAATACCTTTGAAAAAAATAAATTTATCGATTTTATCTAAGTATGAAGATAATTCAAATCTGAGTATTTTTTCCATTTGTAGAAGTCATAATATGTCTTTTAAAATTGAGAGAATTAATTGAATATAATCTATAGTAATTTTTATATTAATATGCATATTTATATTTTTTGTGTTACCTAACAAAAATCATTTTTTAACTTTTGAATTTTGATATCTTTTAAAAGAAACAGACCTCGGGGATATAATTTGACAATAGTTGAAACAATTTATAGACATTTATATTTCAAGAAGAAAAATAAATATATTTTTTTGCTATTAGAATCGGACTAAGCGGCTTTAATCTGGAATACATGTATAGTTAAAAGTTCAGAACTCTTGAAATTGGTTTAAAAATTGTTGTAAATTTTAGCTGAAAGCCACAATCAAAGGTAATTAGCCAAGTCAAAGAGTTTCAAATTTATATTGATTTTACATATCATTTCAAATATTATGATTTAACATCGACATCGTCGATTCTTTTCCGTTCACTTCCATTTTATCAAAATTGAGCTTATTTTACGGCGATATTCATTAGAACTTTCTATCACAAATTTTAGAAAATACCGAACCTTACAAGTGTGCAAAATACATTGCAAAATTAATGTTTTTTGTAATGATTTTCACCATGTTTTCAGCTGATATAATTAACTCACTTTCTAATTTTAGACCGAATGTGTTTTGGAGACACAGATAAAGCCATAACCTACACTTCTGGTTTAAGGTGAGTCTGAAGAAGAGTTTTTATCCAGTAAAATAATGAAAAGTTTTATATAATTATTTCTGATTTGTTTCATAGCTTAAAAATTTAAGCGTAGAACATGATAAAAATATTTATGATAATTTTTGATAATCTAAAAACGACTTTTTAAGAGATTGCTTTACTTAAGTTCATTTTATCATGTAATCCTCCTTTATGTGCTTTTTCTTTTTTAACACAAGAAGGATATGGAGATAACGAACAGTTTTCAATCTCAAAGTCCATAAACAATACAAAACAGATGCAGAGCAAACACGGACCTCCGAAACATCACAGATGGGATCAGGTGCCATGGAGGAGTGAGCATCCCCTGCTGACCAGTCACACCCGCCGTGTGTTTTTTGTCATGATCAGGAAATAACGGAAAAATCCGTCGTCAGTGTCAGTGTATAAATAATGAACGAACTATTAGTATGAAAAACGTCAGTCAGCATTTGACTCAACGATAAATTAAATTGTATTTGCCGACAAGGTCATTTTATCGACCATAGAACTTACAAAATGATGACTTTAAACGAGACTGATGATATTCTTGTTTCATCAACTAAGTAAGGGAAGTTGAGGATTAAGAAAAATAAAGTCATCACGTTTATCATATAGCTTGGTTGTTAGATTACCATTAACGTCTTTTTCAGGTAAAATATCTAAGTATGAAATAGATGTGTCAGACTCTGTGGTATCTTTTATCTCAAGCTCACCAGGATATATCTATCGACATAGGAATGGAAATTGCCATTGTTAATTGACGCTACGTCAAGTTTTTTTTATTCTTTTCACAAATTCTGCATCATACGAATACAACAATAGGCTAAGAATACTGCTAATAACGGAGCGTATCGACGTAGGAATGAAATCACCATTGTTAATTGACAATACGTCGTCTATATATCTAAATGTCGAGTTGAAGGCCACAGCAAGTGTTTTCTTCTTTTCACGCATAGGATTTTGCACAAATTCTGCTTCATATGAATATAGAAATAGGACTACTATTAACGGGGGGCAATTGATACCCATTGGAATTCCAATACAGTGTTGGTTTACCACATAGATATTGTCAATCAGAAACTCAAACATCTCTTTGATGTCAACTTCAGAGTACTTGTGTGTGCAATCAGAATGTGTTTTAACAAAATAATTTTACAAATGACCAATGACCAGATAAGTAAATTTACGAGTTCCATTTTTATTGAAAAAGCAGCTGTCAATGATGTCCAAAAGTCTGGACTTTAATTTATCATGGAGAATGGCTGTGTATAAACTTGCAAATTCGGAGGTTTTTAAGCTGTTGATTTGGTATATTCTGGTGATTTCAAATTGTCCAAAAGTTCTTTGGAATTTTTGAGTATCCACATCTGATTCACACCACTTCTTGGATATATTGTTGCACAGTACTCTTGAAGTTTTTCCTTCACTACTGTCAATATCTCAGTGAGGAATAACAAAAGAAGTTTCGTTGAACATTTATTGGAACCCGCAATGTATCTTTATTTGTAAGGATTTTTATGAAGTTTCGAAATCCAATATATATAGAGTAGTTCAAATTTTTTTTGACTCTGTGGAATATTAAAATTATTTAAAACTGACATATGATTTTGAAGAATTTCTTCCTTAGAAAAGGAAGTATTCGTATGAGTAGGATTACCACTTGTAGAATTAAATCCAAATTCTTCTGAAATACAATTCATATAATGAGTCACACAAACGAAGGCAATGTTGTTCCCTGCGTTGTCGGCTGGGACCAGTACGTACTGATCATGTAACTAATCTAATTCTTTTTTTTTACTTCTTGTTTATTGAACACAGAAGGATAGATTGATTTTATATTGCCCTTCAATCTTTTAACGTACGCTACTTTAACATAGATCTGTTACATTTTATCCATTCTGACAAGGTGTCAACGTCTTCTTTTTCATATCTGGCCCATCATCTGGCATAATTTTCAATAGAATCCATAATATTTATGAAATTCCGACGCCAGTCGAAGGATCGGGGTTCCCTTTATTTAGGACCTTTTAAAATAAGTGATCTAAGGTCATCATTATTAACTATATTTACGTCATCTGTAATAACGTGTCCAGCAGGACAATAGTTATAGGACGAAGAAGAACATGAACACGATGGAGGAGTATGTTTCAGATTCTCGGTATCCAGGCCATGTAAAGTTTTTTTGCAATTGAAAAGTTTGGAAGCAATGGTCGATGTATACTTGTAGGAAATACAGGGTGTAGTCTTTAACTTGAAATATGGTGGAATACAATATTACTTATATTAACTGCGCCAATTCTTTTATTGGCATATTGAAGTGAAAGGAAAACACGAATTGTTTTAGCTGCATTTTCTTCCGTAAAACGCGCGGGTTTAAAAAGTCTATGATATGCAATATCCATAATCACTGATCCGAGCCTTTCTTCTGGTGTCGAGGAATCAAAAATTGGACTTTCCTTGGCCTTTTCAAGAAGGCTATTTAAAAGTTTCAAATGGACGGTCGAGTAAAGTTTGGTGCGAATATGTAAAATTTTGAAAAATATAACATCGCACATAAAATTATGAACGGTAATATAGTTTTTTTTCTTTTGTACAGTTTGCTGCAATGAATTACTTATCCATGGGAATTTTCAATGCATTGTACATGTTTGTAAATTTTAATTATAACTACAAGAGGATTTGTAAAGCGATACAGTTCTAAAGCTGTTTTTTCAATCTTTTCATTCTGTCTTTTTTAGTCTTTTAGCTGGCCTGTTCAAATCATGAAAAAGTCACAATTATACAATTATTACATAATTCTCTATCATATTCATGTTCTTTTCCCTAAGGTTATAGTCCTACTGGACACGTTATAATTGGTGACGTTAATAAAGTTAATGATGAAAACCTTGGATCAATCATTTTAAAAGTTCTTAATTAAAAAAATGTGGATTCTGAGGAAGATTACGCCTGGCGATTGGCCAGATATGAAAAAGAAGACCATGACACTTAGTTGGAATGGATTAAATGTATAAGATTTTTGTTATAATTGCGCATTCAATGATTGAGAGGCAATATGAAAATAAAAATCTTTTGTTTTCAATAATCCAGAATTGAAAAAAGTTGGATATCAGCAGTCTCGTTTAAATTCATCATTTCGTAAGTTCTATAGGCGATTCCATGACCTTGTGAGCAAAAATATTTATTATTGAGTCAAATGCTGACTGACGTCTTTCACATTAATTGTTAGTCCATTATTTATATACTGAGTTGACGACGGATTTTCTGTTATTTCCCAATCAGGACAAGAAGCAAACTGCGGGTATGACGGGTCAGCAAGGGATGCTCACTCCTCCTGACACATGATTTCACCTCTGATGATTTAAAGGTCCGTGCTTGCTTCTATTTTGCATTGTTTTATGCATACTTCTTTGTAAGACTGTATAAGTTTGTTAAATATTTTGTATGTTATTTTTCATGAATAGTGATGACGAATCGACATCTGGCGTGGGTCTCGGGATTGGAATTGGAGTCCTAGTTGTCATAATCGTAGTTGCTGTGATAGGCGTTATAGTGTACCGCAATTTTACATTAAAGAGCGATGAAAGTAAGATATTTTTATTTTTATCACGTCTTGTTAACGAGGTCTTGGTGACGTATTATAAAGCATGCGCAATTTATTGATTTC